AAATTATTGGGGAAGCTGTGAGATGAAAAACCAGAAACCGAGTCCTGCTAGGACATTTTCCCCAGAGGACCGCAACGACAACATATCAATAAACCAAACAACAGCCAGGACAAACAATGTGAAGTGGAGGGCAGATGATGGGCAAAGAAAGCGTAAACTGAGACCTAGATTGGTAGGTAATTGAAAAATGTGAATGAAATTCTATATATAGAGCAGGAGTTATCGAATAATTGGGGTCTGTCTTAGCGAACTCAACTGTACCGAGGTCAGACTGTACCTGCTACTGACAGCAGCATAAAGAGTGTAGAATAATCGCAGTAAATTTGGTGTAAAATGAGGCAGAAATGTTGGGAAAATTTTGGGAAAAATTCACTGCAAGCTTTACGCATAATTAAGTGCACTCAAAAGGTGTCCACACAATACAATTGCCACCAGTGAGGCACTGAGAGAAATTCGAATGAAGTGCACAATTAGTAAAATACATTCTTTTCTAGAGGAAAATTAAAATATTATCCAAAGCTTTTTCTTTTGTACTATATTTTTATTATCCTGATCTGAAATTATTCATTTTTTTCTATAGTGCACTCTCAACTATAGCCAGCCCAGCAAAGGACCCGCAAAGGACTCAACACAGGACCAGAACAGGCACCAGGAGTTCACATTTACATAATGCTCGGCTAAGGGAAGAGGATTTATGTGTGGCACTTGAGTGCCGCAAATTAATTCAAATGAAATTCGTCCAGAACTTAATCCCCAGATCTATTGTTCGTCCTTGGATGGACGTTCGTTTGTCCCTGTTTTTGGCCGACTAATTTCCTGCAATTGCGACACCTAGGAATCGCTTTTTCTTCTCTTTGATTTTGCGCTAATCGCCAAAGTGTCACCGGCCGACCGACTGGCTCAGAACCTGGTGTTTGCCTCATTTCCGCACTTAATCACCCCTGGCCAAAAAAAAGGAAAACTGTCCCCATTGTTAGCAGGGAAACCCCTCAGAAATTTCAGATCCTGCAAGATGACAGAAATCAGAGCAAAACTAATTTCCCGTTAATGAGGGTCGCTCGCCCTGTTGCGTTTGCACCCATTTTCCTTCGGGTTTTTTCTGCGCCTTGATTAAGAAATTTTCCCACTCACACATGCGTCTCATTAATAATTTTTTTTTGGCCAGGGATCGAGATTAATTTACGCCTCGGCAGGATCTGACGTGTGCCTGTCAGACGGAAATGTCCCTTTCGACCCGAGCGCCTTCATTTCTTTTATCTTTTATCTGCGCTTTTTGATGCCATGGGATTTAGAGGAAGGAGGTCCTGCGGGAAGGACCTGCTGAGGCGTCAAATTGTTATTAATTGAAAGTCAAAAGTTTTGCGAGCAATGCCAGTTTTAATTGGGTTTGTTCGTTTATCTTGGCGGGAATTAATTAATGAAAAGATGGTTAACAGGAAACTGAGGGGAGTTTATTTTAAATAATGTGGTTAGTAAGTTTCTTAAGAAGTTTGAGGGCGGGAAATAAGGAAGTAAAACTATTAACATTTTTTTATTAGGAAATTATTTTATATTGTATCTTTTATTGTAAGTTGCAACTTTTATGAGTGCTTTTGTTGACTTATTAGGATATCCCTATTTATTTCGCTGCTTGCCATAAATCCTGTAACAACCCTTTTTCTGATATTTATTACCATTCAGCTAGTAAAAGTAGTAGGTAATTTATAGCTGTGTACATGCAGTTATTAGAGACATTCTGCTCATTAACTACAACAGTAAATGAACATAAAAAGAGTTACTAGTTTGAATAAAAGAAAACTTAAATAAAAGCTGAAATAGTTAACATGAAAATATTCTTTATAAGATGAAGATTTAACTAATATGACATATTTTCACTTTCAAGTGGTTGCCTTTCAAATATATTCTTTTAAAAATATCCAATAAAATTTTTAATAAAAAAACCCCGTGAGTCCATGAGGTCATTCCAGCTATGACGCATTCGTTTGTAGAGGCAACACCTCCTCACCATTCATTTATGCATTCATCCATCCATTCCATTCATATTCATATTGTTGAGTGAAATTCCTGGGAGTGCTATGTGTCCTATCTATATCCTCACACGATCTGATCGAAAAGGATCTCATTGGCAGGCAGTCGCCTGGAAGTTGGCAACAATTGAATAGATTTTATTGCCCCGGGAAAAAGTTATGCGCTGACAGGACCTCAGTTCAATGACAACGCTCGCAGGATATGTGCACAATAAAAAATGCCTACATGAGGATGTCCTTCGTTCGTTTGGGACAAACAATTTCATTTCGGTTTTTGTCCTCAAAAAGGCACCCAAAAGCGATGCCATTGTTGTTTGCCTGTTTATTAAATTGTTCGAAAGGGGTGAGGGGTTAAGGGTGGCACAGAGTTATAAAAGGGGGTCACATTCACAGTCATGTACCAGGGTCCACCTTTGTTAATCGTCAAGCTGGCAATAAATCTTGTCCATGGCAAGGGATTCCCAAATTGCGTATGAGATGTAATTCTCGACATGACATTTTCCCCGGCAAAACTCTATCTCTCTCTCACATTTATTTTGCGGCATAGACAAAGCGAAAAACTGGAGTTTGGGGGAAAATATTTCATAAATTGAATTGTTTTGCATTGTTCTCGCCCCGTCGAGAGCTGCTCTTATTTCGCATTTCTCCACAAAACCAAATAAAAATAATAGAAACCATCCAATATGGATGCTGGTGTGTGCTCATGTGTGTCCTACTCGTCTCTCTGTGTGATTTATAACGCGTTTAGAATGCCGTCTGAGTCCTGGAAATGGAATCAAAGCGACTGTCTCTCGATGGCGAACCGGGTTCTGATTGCATTTGCCGAGTTGATGATGAGAAAGTGAACTAACAAGCTCCGAAGAGGAGTATTTATTTAATTTTCTATTGTGCTTTACCTTATTTTGAACAGAACCAACTTTAATTTATAGATTACTAAGCATTTTTATAGAAAATAAAGCTAAAAAACATTCTGACAGGGTATTATAATTGTAGTTAGAAGCTTGAAACGCAGTGAAGGAGTAATTTCCGACCCTATAAAGCATATATATTAAGTTTATTTATGAGGAATTTTCGATTCGATTTGATTTAATTGGTTTAATTGTCTTCTTTCATTGAATTATTCTCCATTGAATTAAGTATAGTATTCTGTGGAAAATATTTTAAACTTGACACTTAGTCTCTTTTATCAAAATTAAGTTCACTACCTTCACTTACACTCCCTGCCATTACTATAAAATTATACCCCTCACACACACCCAGATTATGACATTTTAAATATGATAAATTGTCGCACAGAGAGGAAGCAATAAAATCCTCTAAGTGAAAGTGAAACCGCAATTTACTCCTCAACAAGGACTAAGAAAATGGTTGACTGCATTTGACACTCGCCTGGGCAACGCCCCTTTTTTTTCTACCAACTTTAAACTCGAATTGAATTTAAAATTGCTGATTATGCTCGAGTAGTGCGAATAATGGTTATATTGAGCCATAAAAGAAATTAAGTCAAACATTATTCTTTGCTCTCGAGTGGCCCATCTGCGTGGAATATTTTTTTAAAAACAACTTTCACCACCTTTGAACTTTGCAAAGCAAAATATTATTGATACATCGGCGGCTTCTCAATGGCTTGTAAACGATTTCTGAAGAGGAGTAGAGTGGGATTTTGAACGGGGGAAACCTCGCGGGGTGTCCACCATATATATTTTCCCCTATTAGAAGCTGCGACGCACATTACATATATTACACAATTTTTTTCCAACAGATTCTCGAGTGCCGTTTCGAGGGGCTTACGCATGATTTTTCCGGGATTTGCGCTTATGAAATTTTCAAAAAATTTTACAATCTCCGCGCAACGGGCGGGCGGTAAAAGCCAGTCTCATTTTTTTATGATGTAATTTCAAAATGATTATTACAGCTATAGAGAAAGAGAGGAAATCAATGCATAAATTACAAAATACAGCCGGCAGACAAAGGCTGATCTTTATTGTTATTCAAATCATTTGGCAGCTGCCACGGTGGCTCCTGTCACCTCCCACCTTCCGCCTTGAGCCTTTCCGAAGTTGGATTTTCAAATGATAATGATTGACTGGCGGCAGGAGAATGATGCTGTTCCCTAATCTGTCAATAATTCAGACCTTGTGCTCTGGCTTTTAGCGCTTTTCAGCCAGAGGCGTCGAGTCTCCCAAGCTGGTCGATTTCCCAGGCGAGTTGGCCTAATCCGATGGAGATGCCATGTAATTAGACCTCAGCCAACGGGCGACATTGGAAATGTCTTTAAAATTGATTCAGATGCGGGTTTTTTCAAAATCGAACTTCAGGTTAAATTTAAGGTATGTAAAAAGGGAAGAAAAATCATCAAGAAGGTCCTATAAAAATGTGATTAGAATATGGATTTACCTAGCTATCAATTAAGCTGCACTGCTTTCAAAAACTCATTAATTTTCAAGTATCCTTCGAGAATATTCCAATCTCATTACTCACACTACCTCTGTTTTCTTTTCGCGAAAACTTGTTTAATCATTTCCACAAGGAGCTTCGATAATTTAATGTAAACTCTGCGGTCACGTGTCGCGACCTTCGTTCATGTAAGTAAATCAAAGCAAATTACCAGCCGAACACACAAAACATAACACACCACACACACAGCACACATGGGCCAAGGGCAGGACCCATTTCAACTTCAACCCAAAAACCCCGGGACCGCCCCAGAAAAAAGGTTCACATTCACAAGTGTTTTGACATTTAAACGCGTTTTGTGCCCGAAATGACCACCAACAAGAGGTGGACCCGGAGAGCACAGGGTCTATGGCCCAAGGGAGCTCTTACACTTGCAAGCCCGACAAGTATCCGGAAAACTGTGGGAAAACCCGTAATGCACATTCCACCCTGGGAAAGTGTAATCAAGCTCAGACACATATGTAAATGACGGGGATGTAATTTCTAATATGTTTTATTTCTATGTGATTGCAAATAAATAAGTGTTTATAATTAAAGCAGGTTATCCTAGGAGAATTCTCTGGCGAATGTTGCATCCTCAACCTCTGGCGGTGGCTGCCACATTGGCAGCCTGTTGGGCAATTCCCAGGCCTTGAATGGTGGCATCACGAGTGTGCTGGCCAATGCGTTCCTAGAAGCATAAAAAGAGGGTTAGTTTTTATATTTCAATATATTTTTTAAAACAAGTTTTAACTCACAATTCTCTTGCCCAGTTTCTTAAGCCAACCAGCCTCGGATTGGCCCAAGCTAATGGCCAGGATGAGGGCCACAAAGACAAAGATCTTGTTGAAGTTCATGATGAAAATTTGCTGATTTTAATTCCTGGATTATCAGAATGATAAAATACTAATTGCCGTTAATATATCTGCTTGCTTGGAGAACAGAGAGCGACTGATGACTGGACTTGGCAGAGACACAGCTTTTATAGCAAAGAAAGAGCTGGTGATAAGGCAACGAAGGGGATTTTTCTTACCTACATAATGGAAAATAAAAAAACTCAAGTGGATCCCCAGCTAAATAATAAAGAAGACTTGCATCGGTTATCTGTTTAAGCAGCTGCTTAAAAATATGTAGATTTACTAGACATCAAATTGTAAAGTGAAAATATGTTACAAATGTGGAAATATTATATTTTTAATATTAGAAAATATTTGTTAGAATCATTACTGAGAGATATTTAAGACATAAATTAAGACTAGTTAAATTTAAATACTACATTTCAATAGTTTAAAATATTATTATTAAGTTCTGTTTCCATTTTAATCTGTTTTTTAATTAAACTAATTTGTAATGGAAATAAAACTAAATTCAAAACTTACGTTCCGTTTCGTTAATTTTAAATACCCATCAAAATTTAAAGTTATAAACTGTAAGGCTTGCTTTAAGCACTTTCGCAACTGTACTTGATCCTTTAAGAGGGGGATGGCCTGGCATCGACACATAATAATATAAACCACCACCACGTAAATGTAACTTTAATTTCAACCATAAAAAACCAACATTGAGGGGCAGACAATAGACTGGCAGCAAAGACAACAAATGAATTAAATCAGCAGGGAAAGCAAACACACATATATGTATATATTTTTGGGGTGCTGTGAGAAGTCGGATAAATAGAAGCTAGAATCTAAAGAGACTAGGAAGCTCCGAGGATGATGTGCGCCTTGTCAGGATATGCCACTAATTTCCTTAACAAGTAAAAACGCTTTATTCATCTTGGGCCCTGACTTTGCCTCGTTGTTGCTCCTTTTCCGGTTCTGTTGCCCTTGCAGAAATGTAAATAAAATCGCTCGAATTAACCGCTGAGTGACAGCTACAAGTGGCAGCCGGAGACACACAAAAGGAGGAGGGAGCAAGTCCTGCGTCATAACTGCCAGGACGAGGCCACATTCTCAGTATCAGTCTCATCCTCGGTCTCATCTTCATGCTCGTCTCGAGCTCATCCTGGGTATTAAGTTGATAGAGCTCACAGTAGCGTAAGTAAGTCAGTAAATGCCGCAACTGGTACCAAAAGATGCTCAACTACTCAACTATAAAGTGGAGGTAGCAGGATACTTGTACTCTATCAAGGAGAAGCCATAAATAATCTTAGGTTTTTAGAGTAGGATTGAGTATCTTTTACTATGGGTTTTAAAATGAGTATCTAGGGGGTAAGTTGGGTTCTAAAAAGCCCAAAGAAAATTAGTCTGTCTTGAATCACTTTAATTGTTTATAGTTTTATAATTTCTTTAATTGATATTATATTATTTCTACTCTTCAGAGGTAAAATCCCACCGAAAATGACTAATCACATAAACAGGCATTCCCTGAACCTAAATTCCCGACTCTGACTGATTACCCGAAGCCAAGACCACCTGGAGACAATGGATGTGCTCAATGTTTGAGCATCTTGGCCTTGCCTTGCCCTGGTCTGATAGGGAAGTAATCATCAGTTCGTGGGGAACTTTTTCCCTGGGATTCACAGCGAAGCAGAAATTGATAAACGAAAGCCGCTGATAAAGAGAGAACCGCAATGTATATATAATATATACTGCGAATAAATAGCCAGAAGAAAGAATCAGGTGTGCTTGATCGATCACTTGAATCATAATGACAAAACGTCATCGGATCCATAGTACTTGGGTGCGGGTTCCCATTCTGTGGGATCACAGAGTTTTGTGTGGTTTTTACACGCGAGAAATTCCATTCATAAAACTTATCTGTAGTAAAAGTTATAATATAGGGATTGTTGTATATTTTTTATATTCCATGTATTTCAAGCTCTAATTAAGCAAAGATCACATAAGGGACTTTTCTAAGTGAAGACATTCCATTGATAGTAGCAGCTGTTGACTAAGATTTCAACAAGTCATTAATTAAGTCTAGTTCGAGGTATTGCGTATGTGTCAGTAGATCGTTCCCTCTCAGTTCTATGATCAATTCTACGATCATTCAACCCATTGAGTAATCCGCAGTTGTTGTGTTTGCTTTTTATTTTCTGTTTTTTAATGGGGGAAGCCGAGTGAAACGTGTTTGCTGATTAATTCATTTTGCTTGCCGCTCAAATGTTTGGCGTTATTTCCCGGACTTTTTATGGGTTATAAGGTATTTTTTGTTCTTTGCCATGTTGTGCCCCCAAAACTATGATTTAGGTTTCAATGAGGGGATTACTTTATGGTTATGTCAAAGCCATGTTGACAAAGGGGATTTCTTAAGTTCAGGAAATTGCTGAGTTCTTCGTTGCTATGTATAATATTTTGTAAAATTTTTCGGGTAAAAATACATTTAACTTAATTTTAATAGAGAAGGATATTAAATAATAAATTAATGTAAGCCTGGAATAAAAGTAACAAAGATTTAAATCTTGTTGAAGTTTACAAGAATCTGTTTTATTCCTCTAAAAGAAAAAGTGCAAGTTGTTGACCTTTTTATATAGCTATTGTCGTGATAACTGAGCTACTGATAACCTAACTAATAATAGAGAAGATTAAAACAAAAAAAAAAAAAAAAACAAAACAATCCAAACAGCATCTCTTAGTGAAATTGATAAGACAGGGGATTTTCAGTGGGCGCAAAAGAAAAGTTGATTCATTTTGGGGAATGCTCAACTGGGGAAGTACTCGTAGAAAATTTTGATAAAAGTAGTTTACATATATTTATAACATTTTAATAGGTAAAAGTGAAATTTATAATAATACATTTTGTTGATAATATATTTCTCTGAAAAATGCATACAAATGTAAAGAATAAATATGAAATTGTAATAAATAACAAAATATATATGTACATGAATTATAGATTAGAATTATAGAATATATAGATATTATAAATATGACACCTTTTGTTTCTTAACTTACAAAATATCAATTGTATTATAAACTATATTTATACTATCTTAGGGCCCCAAACATTCTGAAATACTAAGCCTCAATATACAATCTATGACAGTTCCGACCCGATTCCATCTGGTGAACTTTTGTCTCAGCAAAAAAAATCCCCGTCTTTGCAGCATCCCAGCATCTCTCGCTGTTGGCTTACCTATATAAGCTTAATCTCTGCGAGCTTCGATCATCAGTCACTCCGATTTTACTGCAACAGAATCAGCTCTTTGTTAAATTAAGAAAAAATAAGCCCAACTTTATCTCACAATGAACTTTAACAAGATCTTCTTCTTTGTCGCCCTCATCTTGGCCATCAGCTTGGGACAGTCGGAAGCTGGATGGTTGAAGAAGCTGGGCAAGAGACTCGTAAGTATTTTATTTACAATATGTTAAAAATTAGTATATAAAATTTTCTTCAATTTTCTCAGGAACGCATTGGCCAACACACTCGGGATGCCTCTATCCAGGTCATTGGAATTGCCCAGCAAGCAGCCAATGTGGCAGCCACAGCACGCGGTTGAAGTCGAATCTTATAGTGCTTTAGCACTGAATCAGACTGCCCTATTTATTTTATTTTATACAATTTAAAAATTTAAGCAAATAAAACAAGCACAAATATTTATGTATCCCTTTGTCTTTATATTTAAAAAAAAATTGTTTATTGAAGAACGTCTACAGGTTTCATATCATATAAAAGGGAATACAAAAATAAATTAAAGGATAAAAATCAATTATTTTTTACAACTTATTCGCCCTTTTTTATAAAAATTGACAAACACAAATTTAGAAATTTGTTTTCAATAATCAAAACAACATATTATTAAACCCTTGCAAGGTAATTTAACTTTAGTCAAAAGATTGTAAAGCTGTGATGGAGTCATTTTCGACCCCATAAATCATATATATTCTTGATCAGCCTCAATAGCCGATCCGTTTCTATTCAAACTAATCTCTTAATTTCAATGCTATCTAAATGAAACTTTATATACTATACAGACTACACTTATATACTTTCACAATTATAAGCTGGAACGGGCCGGATCGAATGACTATATCATATAGCTTTAATAAAACCTAGATGAAAATACAAAACTCCCCCTCTCACTCTCTAGGTATGTCTAGCTCCCTCTGTGTATCTCTAGAGATGCCTCCTTCTCTCTATCCCTCTCAGCCTATCTACGGTGATAGCTCACTTTCTCATTTCTCTTTACTCACGGACTATAAATAGAGGCGCTGCTGCCGCTCTGGCCTCATTTGGTCCGCGGCCTCCCAGCTGTTAACATCGAAAGTGATAGTGGTAGTGATAGTGAGTGCCCTTCGACCCGAAAACTATCACCTGACCAATGCAATGCATCAGTGGGACTAGAATTAGCTATGCATTTATTTTTTCAATTGCCATTAATTTATTTTAATTTTAAGTGATACAGCAATACAAAAGTAATGGGAAATATCTATTCAAATATAAGAAAGTATCCCCTTAAGAAAGAAAATATAATTTCAAAGTATTTTAAACAAATCTCTTTTCTTACAGAAACATTAAAGACGCAAAATATTGCAAAGTAACAAAGTATAACTCTTTGTTTTTGCATCCTTTCTTAAAATGTCTGAATCTTTTTAGTTTTTTTACTCCATTCAAATCCTTTTAGTGTAAACATATATATTTTTATTAACTGATAAATATTATGTTATTAAAATTAAATAAATAAATAAATTTTATATATTGTATATTCATAAATTATCCTCTGGCAGTAGCTGCAACATTGGCAGCTTGCTGAGCGATTCCCAAACCCTGGATGGTGGCATCCCGAGTGTGCTGGCCAACGCGTTCCTGTTAATATAGAGTATTAATAAGTTCCTATAATAAAATTCAGTTCCTGAAAGGACTTACGATTTTCTTGCCAATCTTCTTCAGCCAACCGGCCTCAGACTGTCCTAAGCAGATGGCCATAATAAGGGCGACAAAAACAAAGATCTGGTTGAAGTTCATGATGAGATGGATGCTGGATTATTCCTGGTTTTGAAGGGGTTGCGAAGCGATCCTTTTGATTTTGCTGTGCAGTGAATACTGAACGACTGATGCTTGGAACAGAAAGAGCTGGAGCTTTTATAGCCCAACTGATAGCTCGAAAGACATCGGAAGGTTAAAAACAAGCGGGGATTTTTGTGTAAAAAAGTACACAAGAGGAGCCCAATTCATTTGGAATCACACTAAGCAATCCATATCAGATTTGGGGGTTTTCATTCTTTTAATTAAGGGGAAGCACTCTATGTTTTCTAAAAAGTCGACCTGTTTTGTTTTTTGAACTGAAAGAATATTTTTTAAATTATAAAAAGAATGTTTAAGATACTCTTTAAAGAACTTTGTAGACTCTATCAATTTGTTTTTAATTACAATTTATTTCAACTGCGATTATAGATATTATTTATTTATATATTTTTTATTTATGTTAATTCTATTCATAGCAATCTTGAATATAAACTAAAATAAATACTTTAAAACTAAAGCTGGTTTCTGATGAATAAAGTCAATTTCTTCATCATAATATTTGTTTAATATATTCTTCAAATGTTAAATGCATATGAACCTTTTATGTACAAGAGCTTCATGCATCCATTATTAAAAAATTAGACTTAAAATATTTTAATTAATGGCATAAATATTTTATATTTAAAATTAAACTATAATTATATTTAAGAAATCAAGATTTGTATATGGAACTTTTTTGTGGGTAAGTCTAAGTTTTTAAAAAATCGTAACTAAACCAAAAATGCATTAATTTCAATTCGGAAAGTTCTTCTGTTCTAGTTTTTATATGTTGAACAAATCTGCATACTTAGTTTTTAATTTTTAAAATTTCAATTTTTGTCATCTTTTGACAGTTTTAACAAAACCCCTTATAAGTTTTTGAAAAAATTTTCAAAATTTTTGTTTCCCTCCGGAAATAGCTAGATAGACTCAGCTGTTGATGCTGATCAAGAATATATGTATATTATAGGGTCGGAAACGACTCCTTCACTGCTTTACAAGCTTCCTACTGACAGGCAAAGACATTACAGTGTAGAGTAAGTACTGTAAGTACTGTACTGCAAGTGTATAAGATATATAATAAAAAAAGGAATTTATATTTCATTACATTTATGGTCATTATATTTTTCAAATTTTGATTACGTATTAGACTTCTATAAACAACAACTGCATTTATATATAATTAAAAAATACAATTTATAATATTTAAATGCAAGGCATAAATATTTTAAAAAGAAGAGAGATAACTTTCATTGAAGATTCTTTTATTAACAAGGATGAATACAATTGCCATAGTAGAATAAATTAGGTTTCTTAAGTATAGTTTTAAATATAATCAGGATCATTGTTAACCTCTGGCTGTAGCAGCAACATTTGCAGCCTGCTGTGCAATTCCCAGACCCTGGATGGTGGCATCCCGAGTGTGCTGGCCAACCCGCTCCTGAGAAGAGGTAGTAGTATTGATTAGTTCATGCAATAAAATTCAGGAATTGAAAGGACTTACGATTTTCTTGCCAATCTTCTTTAGCCAACCAGCCTCAGACTGTCCCAAGCAGATGGCCATAATCAGGGCGACGAAAACAAAGATCTGGTTAAAATTCATGGTGGGATTTCTGGTTTATTCCTGACTGGGAAATAAGTTTAATCTGATCCTTTTGATATTTCTGTTGCAGTGAGCACTGAACGACTGATAATTGAGATAGAAAGGGCTCAGGCTTTTATAGGCGAATTGACAACCTGTAAACATCAGACAGATAAGGCTTGAACGGGGATTTTCGCAGAGAAAAAGTACACGAGAGGAAACAAATCTGCTTGGGATTGCTTTTTACAACTTTGACAGTTATTCGACTTGGGGGTTTTTCTTTGTTTATACCCTTGTAGGTTATTTTCATTTCATTCAGAAGCTTGTAACGCACTGAAAGAGACATTTCCGACTCCATAAATCATATATATTCTTGATCAACATCAACAGCTGAGTCGATCTGGCCATCTCCGATAGAAATACAAAGTTTTCCAAAATTTTTCAAAATTTGAAAATTTGATAAGTGTTTCAATCGTTAAAATTGTCAAAATTTGACAAATAAGTTCATTTTTTAAAACTATTAATTGAGTATGCAGATTTGTTAACCTAGCTAAAAATTGGCATAGGAAAGCTTTCCGAATTAAAATTAATGAATTTTTGACTTAGGTTTTATGAATTTCATAATCAAATTTTAAGGGTTTACAAGCTTAATGTAAACATATATATTTTTATATACTGATAAATATTATGTTATTAAAATTAAATAAATAATTAAATTTTATATATTGTATATTCATAAATTATCCTCTGGCAGTGTTAACAAGTTTTTCAAAAGTTATAATATTTTGTATATACTTTTTATTATGTATTTGTTTAATATCAAACCGGCAATCTGCATTTATTTTCTGTGTTGGCAAGGCAAGCTTAAAATAATGTTTATAAAACAGAAAAGAGAAAATGTTATTACTTAAGGAACTTAACTGAGATTGGATACGCTTTGAGCTACAAGTTTTGGTAGGGCTTTCCGGAAGATTAGTTTGTCATGTAAATTTTAAAGTATTTTTTTTTTAATTTCATTTTCCCCTTTCTACATTTTCTGGATTAAAGTTTTGGCTTAAAATATAGCTGTAAAAATTTCTATGTCACCTCTCAAACTAAAAATTATTTAAAGTTCCCAATTTCCGAGTTCAGTTACCGTTTTAAAAAAATATATATAATGTACCAAATGATTAAATTTTCACACATTTTATTGACTTATGTTTTCATTAAATAAATAAGTTATTAAATAAAGTAGTTGTATTTCGATGACCGGTGCTTGAATTTAACCTCTGGCTGTGGCAGCAACATTAGCGGCCTGCTGAGCGATACCCAGACCCTGGATTGTGGCATCTCGAGTGTGCTGGCCAACGCGTTCCTGTATAGAAATAAATGTATCTATAATATACTATAAATATTTAAATAAAATAACTTACAATTTTCTTGCCAATCTTCTTTAGCCAACCAGCCTCCGATTGTCCCAAGCTAATGGCCAGAATGAGGGCGACGAAGACGAAGATTTTGTAAAAGTTCATGGTTTTTTAATTCAAACCGTTTAATAGTTAGGAAAAGAGCAAAATAAGCTGATGCTTCTGAGTGACTATTGAGCTGACTGATGATTTTGTTAAGAGAGGCATTGGCTTTTATAGATGAACATTCAGACAAACGAATGCGCTGCCGATAAGGTCTCAAAGGGGATTTTTCTTGGCAAAAAAGTACACACAAGTACAAAAATTGATTACATTATAAGGGAATTTCCATACAAGATTTCACGCATGTTTTTAGGTACGACCATTGAATTATAATAATTTGAATTTTGTACCATTTTAATGGTGTAAGCCCTTTATAACATTTTAAAACGTTTTTTAAATAAGTACTCATTATAGTTAGGTAAGCAAACTAAACTAATCAAATACATTTTTAACGGTTTCATTGCTCTTTTATGTATCGTGGACGCACACCAAACAGATTACCTAACAAAGTTTCGCACCTTGTTTTGAAACAAAGTTACCAACCTTTGTTGAATATTAATATATAACTACTGCGGAAGCCGAGACTATCGACTATCGAAGTTTTGACAGCTTCTCGAAAAATACTTTGAAACCATTTTGTAAAAAGTTAGTTATTTTGGCTGTGTTTATTTTTCTTTTTTTTTCATTCCTATGGCAATGGTCAAAATAAATCGGTATGTCAGTCTTATCGATAGCCATCGATGTTTTGACAGTTCGGGGCTGCCACCTTCAGCGACTTTTTTACTGTCAAAATAGTCGACAAAGAAGACTATCGATTAAGTTTTAACAACTTCTATCAATTTTTATTGAACATTGAAAATACTTTGAAACCATTTTAATAAAACATTTAAGTATTTTGGTTCTAATAGATTTAGATTTAGGTATTTATGTTAAAAAGGCAGTTCTTTTACATTTAATTTCTTCTTATCTTTCCTATCGTGATGGTAAAAATCAATCGATAGCGTCCTCTTATCGATAGCGCAATCGATGTTTTGACAGCTCGGGGTTGTCATTTTCGGCGACTTCCTTTCCTGTCAAAATAGTCGACAAAGGTGGTACTTTTTTTAAGCGACGCCTAAAAATGGACGAAAACCGCGACGAACACAGCGCAGTGCTGCGAAATAATAAGTCAAACAGTTAATGTAATGAATGACAATGGAGATTTTAGTTGCGGCACGGTGCTATGCTGGCGGAATAAGGCCGATTGCCGGCGATTTGTTGGCGGCGGCTGCGTTGTGCGAAAGCGGTTTTCGGGGTTGAGTTATGTGTGTCTCTGTACTGACCAGCGTTGGTGCCCTTGCAGATGGCTATCGGCTCCAAGATTATCAAGCCCGGCGGCGCGGATCCCGATGATTTCGAGAAGTCCATCGCCCAGGCCCTGGTGGAACTCGAGGCCAACAGCGACCTGAAGCCCTACCTGCGCGACCTGCACATCACCCGTGCGCGCGAGATTGAGTTCGGCAGCAAGAAGGTATGTTTGCTCAGCTGGCAACGAACCCATTAACCCAAACGTTTCCCCGTCTCTTTCCCGCAGGCCGTCATCATCTACGTGCCCATTCCACAGCAGAAGGTGTTCCAGAAGATCCAGATCATCCTGGTTCGCGAGCTGGAGAAGAAGTTCTCTGGAAAGCACGTCGTCGTGATTGGCGAGCGCAAGATCCTGCCCAAGCCGACGCGCAAGGCCCGCAATCCCCTGAAGCAGAAGCGCCCGCGCTCCCGCACCCTGACGGCCGTCTACGACGCCATCTTGGAGGATCTGGTCTTCCCCGCCGAGATCGTGGGCAAGCGCATCCGCGTCAAGTTGGATGGCTCCCAGCTGGTCAAGGTGCACCTGGACAAGAACCAGCAGACCACCATCGAACACAAAGTGAGTTCTAGCACCAATTCAGTGAATACCAAAGAGTGCATCGTGTGTTGTATAGCTCGTCCCCTCGATATTTGCTCTTCTCTGCCATGGAGCGTAATTTTCGCTAGGGGACGCAGAGCACCAGGGCCAATAACTCGTTATTGCAGGCAATAGATGCCTTTGCAGTCCTGCATCTCCAAATATTGGCCACATTCTGGTCACATTATCCCGTTCTTGTGTTATTTGCTGGTTGATTTAACCAAAACCAGTGATTGTCAAACAGAACGCATAGAAATCTGGCAACTAATCACTCCATAATGTTGAGCCGACTATCCAGGGCTTCTGCATTACTAAATGTTTGCCACATCTATACCACACAATATGAAACACATGTTTATGGAGATATAGAAATAGGAATGTTAAATAGTGACTAAAATTGTATAGTTATTAGATTTGTTAGTACCGTTTTTGTGTTATTTGCTGGATCTTATATCCAAAGCCAGTGATTGTCAAACTAAACGCAGACCAAAGGCAGCTAATCACTCCATAATGTTTATTCTAATTTAGCCAGGAATTGAGCATTACTAAATGTATGCCACATGCATAAATCTCTTGTATATTATGATCTCTTCACCGTTCTTGTGTTATTCGCTGGATGTCTTATCCAAGTCCAGTTATTGTCAAACAGAACGCATAATAAATCAAGCAAACTAATCACTCCATAATGATGGGTCGACCTTAACCAGGACCACTTCATTACTAACTGTTTGCTATACTTTATAAACCTTTAGTAAAATATTCCACCGTTCTTGTGTTATTTGCTGGATGCTCTTTTATAGTCCAGTGATTGTCAAACAGAACGCATAGTAAACAATGGCAGCTAAATCACTCCACAATGTTGAGCCGACGTCAGCCAGGGCTACTTCATTACTAAATGCGCGCCACAATCATATATATTTCTGAAACTATAGTTGTATATACCGTTCTTGTGTTATTTGCTGGATGTTTTTTATAATTCAGCGATTGTCAAACAGAACGCAAACTAAAGCAACTAATCACTCCATAATGGTGCGTCCAAATTAGCCAGGACTACATCGTTACTAAATGTATGCAACATTCTTATAATTTAAACCAAAAACAACACCATGATGCACTCTGAGTACCGCCTTTTTGCCTCCCAAGCACCGTTTTGTCCTGGTGGCTTGGGACTTCCTATATCGGCGGTAGATTAATCCAGCTTTCCGTACGATATCTTCACTGCAGTCTTGCTGCTGCAAGGGAGGTCACGGCAGCTGTACAATTGAAATAATAATTTCTGAATCTGATTACTAATCTTGCTTGTTTTTGTTTATCCCTTCAGGTTGACACCTTCACCTCGGTCTACAAGAAGCTGACTGGCCGCGACGTTACCTTCGAATTCCCCGACAACTACCTGAATGTCTAGAGCGGGTTCTCGTAAGGGATTTCGCGAGGGTTCGTCGGTTCATCTGGGAAAGTCGCCGCGCTTCTGTCGTGCAGAAGATATGGGTTTTTTTAAATGAGCTAGAGAGTGTAACGTGAATAAACATTAAACATTTAAAAAATAAGCTTACAATTCCAATTAAGTCAACTCTCTATTGTGTTGTAATTAATCAGCGCCAAAGGGGATTTATTTCTCATCGTGGCATGTGTTCGATCTGTAATCCTTGGCTGCGCAGTTATCCTGCAGGAACCCGCTGATTAAGGGCAGACACAAAAGGCTGCATTACATGGTTGAATGAGATATCCTTGTAATGCCATGCTGTGTTTACTCAATCTCTTTAATTAAAAAGCTGGCGCCGTATGCTTTTTAATGGATTTGAATTGTAATTTTTGAACAGGCCTTACCCCTCTCCAAAGAAGTCACACATGTGCCAAAGGGGGTTAATTTTGTGACTATATTTAAAGTTGGTGCTTCTATTTTTCATGTGTTGCCATAATTACTGCCATTTCAGAATTTGATTATATTACATACATTGTGCGTTTGAAGAATCACATGCGTTATTGGGGGTGGTAACCCTTTGAAGGGGTGTGGATTTCATAGTTATCATTCCATGCTTTGGCTGATTTATGATTTGAGGAAAAAGCTTTTTGTGTTTTTCGAAACACCCTGTAGAAGAGCTTTCGGAGCGCCACGTTTGAATTTGTTTATATGATGATAAGGTAAGCTTTTGTGGAAATATTTTAAATTTATATTTTATAAATTGTTTATTTATTAGGAATTATTTAAACCTCGTGGGAATGAAAGTAAGTAATAAAATTTGCTTTCTTGAATGACAATTTAGTTTTATAAGCCATATAAATAACTAAGTAAAGGAGTTCAACTGTGTGTTGCTTTATAAATAATATTTTATTTGTAATATTTTACAAAAATCAAACCTTTAAAACTGTTGTTCTGTAAAGTTTATTTTTTTATACGGAATTATAGGCGTATGTATCAAGGGGCGTTTTTTATTCTGTATTTTAAGTGACTTGTTAAGATATTTTTCCGGAAAACATATATTCTGATATATAGAAATTAATTGAATTTAATAATTAATTCAATTTTTAAACGGAACTTATTGTCCGCTTGTTTTATTCCCATGACAATTGATTCAGTAATGCCATTCCTTTGGCTACTAATTAGATAAGCTTGGATTCCATCCTTTGATTAACCATTATTATTTTTTGATTATTTAAGACCTTAGTGCATTCCTAGCCCGTTTAAGCTGTCCAAGTCGATTGATTGCACTTTTGAAATTCAATTAGAAGCGACCGCGAAATCACGCAATTCAACAATTCCGAAATGCTACACGAGTTGATGGCAAACAATAGAAACTAACCAAACTATAGCGATGAAAGTGGAGAGTGAGGATTTGTGGGTCAAAGGAACTTCGACTGACAGGGACATGAACATGAAAAGGAACACGAGAAATAGGGAAAAACTTTGTGGCCACAACAAGGATTCGAGTCCATGTCGATTTCGAATTTGGACAAATTATCGATGTTGTGGTCTCTGGCTAGTTGTTGTGTCTGGGGAATTCCCATTGGGAGGTGGTGTTACAAGGGGGCGTGGCTCCAATGGGCGAGACAGGTGGTTCGCTGACAAGTTTGGGGAGTTGGCTATCGGCGATTCTATCTAAATGACCCCGCCGGGTCATCTATTATTGATGGTGCCTAATTGTGCGCGATTCGAGACGAATGGTTATCATTAGGGGTGGATTAGGTTGTGGGTGTCTGGGTCAGTGTGTCCTTGTCGAGTCCCGCGAATGCGTAATGCCATCTTGGGCAACTCCATTCATTCCGCGCTCTAATTAAAACGCTGCGACGCTGCCCACACATTCGCACAAGTGGCCATGGAGGGCACTTTGTATGTAGATTTTTTATTTGACATGTACTTGGCGGAAAATGTTTATGACAGTCGCCGCTCGGTTCCCACCATATCCTGTTTGGGGGTAGTGGGCAGCAGGATTTGGGAATGGCTGACCCCCCACCAAAAATTATTATGTCATCCCCTGCCAACGCTAACGAAGACGACGACTTTCTGAGTCATGTCGGAACTTAAAGTTCTTCAGCAGATTCTTGAGTGCCAACGAAGCGATAATCGCAATCTGAAAATGAATATGAATTTAAGAGTTACACTTTTAGTTATCGTTAAATTAGTCAGAGTTAGCTGGAGAGCTATGTGTGTACATATATTCGTAATTTAGGAATGTTTAATCATGGGGAACATTTTTTAATATCACAAGGGAGTTCATTAATACGAAATCAGCAATAAATGCGAGCAGCTTTAGTGGGAATTAAAGAAGTCAATAAACGCTTAATGTAACCCCTTTTTAACTTTTAAAAATATTAGGTAATACATATATGTATTATACTGTATACAAATATGTTTCTTCTTGCGAATATGGCTAAATCAACTCGGCTGTTGATGATGGCTAATAATAATTGTATATATGTATGTAGCTTATAGGGTCAGAAATTACTCATACTGCGTAACAAATCAATGAACATAAATTTAAATAATTAAATTAATTTATAAGTAGCATTCTTATAACCTTATAAAATACATTTTAATTTTAACCATCATGATTATGTTCCCCGAATACGTATCAGTTTCGAAAGTTAGTGCAAGCTTTATCACATGCACACAGTAAACTAAGTCCAGAAATTGTTTACTTATATATTTTTCTATATTTTGCTTTGCTACTGATAGGTTTGCTGATCATGATTATAGGCCACTAATACCTATCAAACTCCAAAGGTGGTTAACTATTATAACATGCACATGAAAAAAAAGTGCTATACATAGTCTAGGTATATTAATAATAATTTCATTTTGATCTGTCCCAAATAATAAAAATGATTGAAATTGTCTTAATGGCAGTTAAATATTTATTTTTCTCCCTCCTTGGTTACGGGGTTTATCAGTTTATCGACTCTGTTGTGCACATTTAATACAAGGAGTAAGTTTCGGAGGGGGATCCACCTAATCAGCACGAGACTGTTCCGGGGCGGTTAAAGTTGCCTTTCCATGATGACTGCCCCGGGCCAGACGGTTTACTGATAAGGCCACGATAAACCAAATATATATGTACATATATATAGAGCAGTCAGTAACTACCGAGGTTCGTGTGCGAGCGTTTGTTTGATGATCATCGCATAAGTATTGCTCCTCGGAATTTCTTTGCACACCGCTGATGTCTCTGCCTGAATGAGTTTTCTATATTTATCCAGAGCTAACGTTACATCATGCCTCACACCGTAGATTTTTTTTCCTGAAGCAAACAATAAATTATGAAAAATTACTGGAAAGCTAGAGAAATTATATGTTATGGTACGAAAGAGAGACCGAGAGAGAGCTATTTTTATAGCAATTTCAAGTTATCAGACCCCATGGAAAACAGAATTATGTTTTAACTGCTGCGGCGATAAAGACAAAATTTGGTTTCCGCTTTAAGAATTCAGTTCCAAAAAAGCATTTATAGTTTTAGACCAAAATACTCGCTCTCTCACATGTCTTTACTATCTCTTTAGACAACAGGAAAATCTCCCACCAACGCAAACAGATAAAAGCGACAGTGCGATAATGATGCTATTGGCAGCAATATAACCAAAGGGAAGAAGCAACAAACAAATTGAGTAACATAGAGAGAGAGGGGGAGATAAAAAAACAGGTTCCTCTCTGGGAAAGTCGTTTAGTAAGTAAGAAAAGTGAGAGACTGGGAACTTGGCCGATATTTACAGCACTGGGATCTCACGCGATGACGAAATAATGCCCCACTCGCGGCCCACTACTCGTATACGTGTTGTGTGTTGCCCACCATACCAACATTGAGTATACAACCCGTTGCCGGCTTCAGTTCACGACTGTTGCTGCTCTGCCGGCGTCTGCGTTAGCGTTAGCGTCTTCGAAAGCATCGACGCTGACGTCAACGCCAATGGCTCTGCCGGCAACGACACCCACTTCTCAGTGGGATACCCTTTTAATTTAGATTCTGCTGGGTTTTATTACTTTAATAATTGTATCATTAAAATGTAAGGGATTTATTGGAAGAAGAAAAGGGAGAAATATGACAATTTGTAGAGAGTTGTATAAGAATAAATACGGGGATGGTTTAATGAACTTTTAATTTCTATAGATTGAATATAAATTAATACATATATGATAAATATTTTAAGCCGTTTACGTGCTAAGTTTTGCTTCATGTTTTAAAAGCTTTAACCTCTCTTAGCTTCGTATCAGTGTAAACGTCTTTAGACTAGATTTCAAGTTATGTAACAAAAAATATTAAAAAGTTGTTGTGCTCTGATATTAAATCTCTTTAACTTAAACACTTAAAGGCTTGCCAGGGCATCTGCGAGTCGCCTATGCCCGAATAGTTTTCCCGATGAAGGTTTCTCTTTTCGGAGCGGCAGCATTGACTTTGAACCGGGCGCGTTGTTGCTGTAATGTTTACGGAATGTGTGAGCACAACAGAGAATGGTAAACAGTGCGATGGCCCCCAAAGGGGGGGTTGGGGTGGCAGACGAAATGGGCAAGACAGAATGGTAGATAATAACTGTAGACGCAGCTGCGGAGCACGCAGCCAAGCGACAACAAATAAAATACAATAACAAATTGGATAGTCGGCGTCGCCGCTGACGTTCGCTGCTGCCAATAGTTCTGGGTGCCGCCAAGGCAGCGACGTCCACGCCGGCAGCGACGGCAGCAGAGGGCCCGCTCTTGGATGTAAATGTCGACCGTTGGCGGCGGGCGGCGTTAGTCACTTGAGTTCGTTCGTTCGCCTGGTCAACAACAGCGGAGCAAGAGGGACAGAAGGAGAGAGTATCGCGACGAATCCCGGTGGATCCCGAAAAACCGTTACCCAAAGTTCCAAAGTTCCGTGAATCCCAGTTATTCGGCAACTTGGTATCCCCAAAAAAGTACGTCTTCTCCTCAAAAAGTGATCGTTAAAATAATAATAATAATATCAAGGGAATATTGATTTCCTTTTAGATTTTGTGGAATTTAAGTTGATAAAAAACTATATTTTTTTTTTTAAATGTAGAGCTTATCGGGTTCTATGAAACATATAAATCGGACAATTGATCGTGCTTTATTTGAAGTTATTTAATTATTAGAAATGAATCAAATTGTGAGATGTAGTTGAGATATTTTTTTTTTAGATTTTGGAATTCTTTATTGTTAAGTCTGGTTATAGAAACTCTTATTTTCTGTAGTTTCCAACCAAATTTTCATTTCATAGATTCCTCTAAAAGCTCATCTTAAAACCTGACGTCATGGAAACATAATATAATTAATCAGACACGCCTTTTTAGTAGTATTACTACTCCTAGTTCCAATTCCCAGCTCCCCCTTTTCAAAACACGCTGCTCACATGCAAATTGTAACCCAATTGTTTGCTCATTTCTGTCATTACCGGCGTCGATTAGGGGACGGGTCGGGGGCTGGCGGCTTCGGTGGGAGTCAACAAAGCGAATAACATGCACACACCACACACACATTCAACCCATTCCACCTCCGGATCCAGAACCACCTACAAAGTCGCCACCCCCAGGTGTTGGTTCTAGGACTGTATACACATTATTATCCCTCACGATTTGATTGCCGCGACACGCGTTGACCCACATCAATAAGCCGACCAAAAACAGACTGACTAACTCTGCCTTCTCCGACTATCAGAGGGGTTTTCCCAAAGCCCAAAAATACATTTTATAAATTGGGAAATTTTGGGAAATTAGTGGCGAATGAATACTTAAATGGGTACCTTTAATTAGGAAAGATATTTAGCCACCTTTCTATGGAGAAACTTAAAGAAATTGAGTTACTTAGTCAATTTTACTAATAGGTTTACTAGGATTTAAAGAATCCTGATCATGTAAGGTGTTTTTAAAAGCCCTGATAAATTTCTTTATTTTATATTATTTCGTTTTCATTAATAGTTAACTTTCATTCTTAAACTATTGCTTTCATTCCACTGTGTTTAAAAACTTAAGTTACCCTCGAATAAATATACATACATCGTAAATCGCAGTGAATCATTAAATTAGATTAAATTTGAAATATTCAATATACCCATTGAAAATAAGCAAATGGCTAGACTATACATTTTCCGAATGTTTGATTTGAGAACAAACAATAAATTGCCTTATTGCCAAGTCAATAAACAAATTGTCCAAAGGGGTTCCCATAACCAATAACCGAACACATCTATGAGCTTTTTCATAAACTTGCTAGTTCAGCGGAATCTCTTATCGAAACCCTTTTAGCAAGAAAAAGCATTAAACATCGCATTCAAGTACTGTTAAAAATGTATTTCTAAATAAGTAACAAAAAAATATTTTAAAAAGAAGATACATTTTTCTATATAGTAATCCATTAAATACATCAAAATTACTTTAGCGAGACATTTATTGTATAATTTTGTTTTTATTGTGTCGTTTAAAATGATTTAATACAATTGCCTTGAAAATGTATCACAATATTCCCAGAATAATTTTTGATTCAAAACCTCTTTTGTGCTTTCCCTCAGTGTAATTATAGTTAGCTTGCGATCTGGCCTGAATTATCTCAAGATAGTGAGTGCCTTCAATTACCCCGCGAATGTTGAAAAATGCTCCAATTAAAGGTGCCAGCTGGGCAACAAGTGGCAATACTTGATCTCTCACCGCTGCTCTATTAATTTTCCTAGTGCTGGGAAATCTCTGAGGTTTTCCTCTCTCACTCGCTCACCCACTGAATAGAACCTGTGGAAAATTTCCAACAAAATTTTGGCATTTTTGGCATTAAAATCGGATCGGTCGGGGGAGTGACAATATATAGAAGCATAGTTGGTGATAGGGACGTGCGAGCCATCAGGCAATTAGCCATGTCTAGGAGGGTTAAGAAAGCAGGGAGGAACACTCGAACATACCCAGTACATTTCAATGGGCGGTCAGTGCTTTATCGCACTTCTGGCACTGCAAATGAAAATAAAAACACTCCAGAGCGAACGGGGCGAATGCCAATAAAATAGTGGCTAAATGACGGGGGAGCGACGGCTGCTCTTATTGTTTATTATTATTTATTATTGGGCGAAATTGATTGTTGCAGTGCGTTGCCAAGTTGCCTCGCAGACACTGGGGGAAATGTTTAGTAAATTAATTTTAATGAAAACAAACACAATTCTAGTTCAAACAAACAAGACAGAAGAACAGTGAACTTTAAAAATATATTTTAAAACTTGTCAAGATAAATATTAGATCCTTAACGATGTATACTACAAGTACAAATTAAGGTTGAACTTTATGTCAAGTTGTTTTGAGTAGAAAACACTTGATATTTTCTTCAAGTGCCTTCCCCCAAATATCGAAATTAGGCAAATGGCCTCTGAATATGGAATTTAATTTATGCATGCTCCAGTCGCGTGCTCAGACCCAATGAAAATGTTGATCAATTCTTGTGACAGCGTTCGTCAAAGAAGTCTGCTCAGATATTCCAATATAGTCCCAGATACATACAAATACCCAAACATATAGTTCCCGACATCAAATTAGCCTGCGTGGCAACATTTTCTAATTAAATGAGAAATGTGAAATGCGAATGCAAAAGCGGGGCGTGTTCATATCCCCAACTGGCACCCCCCGTCTGGTGTGGTCGCATTTTATCAATATGTAAATTGCGATTGCAACGATTTTCCCCCCGCCAATCTTATCTATGCCAGACTTACGTAAGGGGAGCGATTCTTCGACACCCCAATTACTCATGGCCCATGGAACACCTGGAGGGGTCAGACAGAAATGAATCATGATGGCAATAATTGTTTTCGAGTATTTGCAATAGACGATAGACTCTTATCAACTATGTTAGCCCGAAAAACTTTGAATGAATGAAGTGGAGGGGCGGAAGATGGCCTGGAAAATGTGTGCCAGGTGTGCCAGGTGTGCAGTGCTTATCAGCGAGGCAATATAAGCCCACTGGTCGCACACGCACAAGGTATGGTTTGGATCGACCTCCTTCCCTCAGACCGAGAATTTCCGAAAAATTATAGGAAACATTCTGCGGGGGCGGCGGCAATACCCAGTGTTTGCCAAGTCCAAAGGTATATGGCTTCCTTGCCAGGGGAGTGGGTAACAATAAAATCAAAGGCTACAATCCACTTTATGATTTGATTCGATAAATATTTGCGCCAAACAAACAGTTAAATTTATTTTGCCTGAAACAGTATCTGTCATAATAAGAAAGAGAGCTTCCAGGTGTGGTATAAAATAATTAATAAAATTTTAATATATTAAATTATTAAATGATACATAAACCAGCAGTCTGTAAATCTATAGAGAAGATCTAAAGCATTTTACCTTCATTTATCACTCTAATAAAATCCAAATCAAAAGCCAAAGGCATATTTGGTTTTCTCAGCCACCTTAAGCTGTTTATACATATTTAAATTTCTACACCACAGAGATCATCTCTCTTTAAATACCGAATGCTATATTTGCCTCTGTTAATCGATTTAATGGATATTTGAGTGTAAGCAGACAATAACACTATAAAACTTAATATATATAAAAGTTGTAAACAGTTTCGAAAGAAATTAAGGTTCATTCTTTGGTGTAGTTTCAGCTCTACATGTTTTAATGATAATATTTCTCATTAAAACACCTCAGAAAAGAGAAAAATCCACTTCTATTAAAGGGTATTTCATGGTCAAAGAGCCACTTTATGGGTCCTATTTGTTATGTTTTATGATAAGTGGATGGTAGTATGAGGGTTGGAGATAAGAAAACTGTGTGGCAATTGGTTGTACGAGATTAGAGGATGCCTATATCCAAAATCCCAGTCACTTGGATAGTCCGAATGACTGGACAGAATCCTGCATTCTGCCACTCGAGTGTTCACACTATCCAACCGGGAATAGCTTCGAATAATCAGATAGGTGCCCACCTGTGTACACCTGCAGATGACTCACTGTGTGTTGTTTAGCGGTGGCCATAATGATGTAGTGTAGTTCTATTTGCTTTTTACCAGATAGTGCGAACTTGCAGATCGGTGATTGCAACACAAGGCACTCGCTGGGCAGGCGATAAGCTGCGATAAGGTATTGGCCCTGACTCTGCCGGTAAGCTCCAATCCGTGGACATGTATATAGTGTACATAGTGTATAGATATATTTCTGTTAATATCCAGAGCAAACCCTTATCGCACCGTGGGCGTGGTACATGAGGCTGGCAACAGATTTCACACCAATTACAGTCGAAACTCACTGAAAGGCCTGCTAATAGTGCACGGTTATAGACGTCCTAAACTTCAATTAGCAAGTGTCTGTGGATTCGCTTTATTTTTTGGCTTTGATTGCACAGCGAGAAAAGTTCTGGGCCTTTGGGGGCAATAACTTAAGTCTCAGATGACTGTTGATCTGCAAATATTTACATCATGAAAACACTATTAGCCCTGGATTGTGTGCCTTGGCATTTCTAATAGTTTAGCTTCTTTATTGTATATTTTGTTGAGATAATTCTTATATTCTTAAAGAACTTGTTTAAATAGAACTTAGTTTAAGGAAAAGGAAACGCTTAGTCACTGTTCACCACTAAAAACTAAGCAAATTAACTTCGTAGTTATACAGCAAATTTCAACACTGCGTATGAGTGATACAGTTAAATAAAAGCTTACTATTTATGCTATTAGTGGGGTTTAAAAACTACTTAACAAATCAAAATTTATATACGAAATAAATATACATTACATATTATGTTCTTTGTAAGTCATCTAACTTTTGCCCTTTTGTCAATTCGTTTTCCTGTTAGATTTTTAGACTCTTTTATCCCCAATTTATTTTTATGAAATTATGGTTGGACTCCCTAACCTTAGAAGACCATTAATAGTAAATCCCATTACAGACCTAGACATGTGCCTTTCATCACCCATCCCCGGGCAGACTCAGCCGCAGGCTGTTGGCCACTGCAATGGATCCTGCTCCTTGGACAGAAATGGGAACCGGAGCACCACCAGCGCCGCCACCAGCGAAGGAGAACTTAAGCACAGAGGCAAGCATACCACCACCACAGATCTGGACGATGACAATTTAGGCTACAAGGAGGAGAATGCTGTCTACAAGGAGAGTGCTATAGAGAAGGCCAAGTTGCAGCAGGAAGAGGAGCAAAAGTTGAAAAAGGATGAGGAGGAGGAAGAGGAGTACCGGCCACAGATCAGATGGCCAGATTTGGGAGCTCAAACTTTCCTCCATGTCGGCGCTCTCTACGGCGTGTACCTGCTGTTCTACGCAAAATTCTACACATTCCTTTGGGGTGAGTGTCCACTGTAAATGCCCCCATAATTAACATCTGGGGGGAGGAAAATGATGTACAGCCCCCTCCCTAGGCGGTAATTGCATCTGCCAACATGCAAACAGGGTTCAGATACTCGGCTATTAGCTATTTTGTAACTAACGCCGGTGGCTCTTAACTGGGCCAGTTGAAATTAGTTGGCATTAGTTGAAACAAGTCACTAGGGGCTGATGTAATCAATGGATATTGCAGGGAGATTTTTATGGGATAAAAGAGGGGGATAAGATATATAATAATGGTTCTGTGACATGCGGGTAATATCGGGTGTCATTCATGCATAGTTGTACAATTGTGTTAATAACGTTATTAAACAAAAGATAATTTAAGTTAATTATTTAAATATATAAACTACATTTCTTGTGGTAAAAACTCACTGCAATTCTCAATAATTAGGAATCCTACATACATATCTTTAACAAATTTCCTACATTACATTTTTGGTCTTAGATGACACACACCAAAGTTAAGTTTTCGTTATAGGTAAACAAGCCTTAGGTTATATGCATATTGGTTGCCGAGTTCTGAACTTTGACCTGTGGAAATTTTCAATTGAAGTTAACGAACGCCTCAATTGCTCTTGGCTCGTTCCAATTCAAATGGTGATCGGAGCGGGACAGATTTCCCCCGCGGGAGGCTTCCCAAATGGGCCACCTCAAAGAAACGGAGAGCAAAGAGCACAGAACTGGGAATAGATAGATATATTTAGAGCCCGGCGTTGTGTCATCCGCTGAGCAAATCAAGCGAGAAGCGTCACCATCGCCAACTATTTGGATGGTCATATATATATAAGCACATATATGTATATAGATATATGTACATATGTCTGTTTGGGATTGTTTGTTTGTTTAGACAATGACAACTGACTGTTCGCTGGTTTTTATTTTTCAGTTGTGGTCACCGTTTGGGTTTCCGGAATTGGGATTACGGCAGGAGCCCATCGTCTCTGGTCGCATAAATCATACACGGCTTCGCTGCCTCTGAGGATTCTGCTAGCTTTCGCCTTCTCCATTGCTGGTCAGGTGAGTTATATCTTCTGAAGTATTATCCACATAAAATCTAATATATTTTATGATTCCAGAGAGATGCCTACACCTGGGCCCTGGACCATAGGATACACCACAAGTTCGCAGAGACGGATGCCGATCCGCACAATGCCAAGCGAGGCTTTTTCTTTGCCCATGTGGGCTGGCTTTTCCTCACGCCCCATCCCAAGGTGGTGGCCAAGCGCAAGGTCATTGACATGTCAGACTTGGAGGCGGATGCTGTGTGCATGTTCCAGCGCAAATACTACATCCCTCTGTTTGCTCTCTGTTCCATCATTTTGCCGGTGGCTGTGCCCTGGTACTTCTGGAACGAGGATCTATACATGTCCTTCTGGATTAACTTTAACATGCGCTTTACCTGGACCCTCAATGTGGCCTTCTTTGTGAACAGCGTAGCGCATATGTATGGCAACAAGCCCTACGACAAGTAAGAGAGATCACTATACCTTGTGGATAATATATAACTCATACAAAATGTTTCTCCAGGAACATCATGTCCGTTGAGGCCCCCATTGTCTCCCTGCTGGCCATGGGAGAGGGATGGCATAACTACCACCACGTCTTCCCCTGGGACTACAAGACGGGTGAATTTGGCAACTATAGCCTCAATATCACCACCGGTTTCATTGACTTTTGTGCCTGGCTGGGCCTGGCCAAAGGAAGTGAGTGTTATCCATTAGCTCTTTATAGAACCCAACTAATTCGGTTATTCTTTTACAGGGAAATCGGTATCCCAGGACATGGTCTTAAGGCGAGCTGAAAAATGCGGCGATGGCACTCGCTTCCTGAGCGACGATTTTGCGCACAAAGACTCAGTGTGGGGCTTTGGAGACAAGGACATTCCCTGCGAGGACCTCGTGGAACTGGCCAAAATGCAAAACTAAGCCAGCGCATTAGCCTGTGGTTTCATAGTATTAAGTTTTGTAGCAGCACCAAGTCGCCAAGCCATGCATGCCTTATAACCATCCCATAAGCCCATATAACTCCATCCCCCATCCCGGGATCAATAGGATCCTTGTATTGTAAGCCGAAAAAAAGGGAGTCCCAAGTACCGAATGGATATATAGAAACTGGGGGAATTGATTCATTTACCTAAGCCAGAGTTTATTAGATTAATTCCATTCGGTATTCCGTTTGATACCCCTCGTTTTCGGTGCTGGGACGCTGGTCCCGTCTTTGTTGCTTTCGTTAATTACCCGCGGGTCAATAAACTATGTTTTATATTAACCCATGTTTTAATTGAAACACAGCCGAGGTCCATGCATATGCAATTACTGCTTTTCTTTTTGTATGTAAAACTTTGTACTTTCGCCTCATTGGATTTTGTAATTACGGCGGGGTTTTAGTAGACTCTAAACGGCCGTGGATGTCGGTACAATCGCGAGTAAGGACTTACGAATTGGATTAAAGGACATCAGAAAAATGGAGCAGACTAAGGTGAAGGAGCAGAATCAAACCGGAGACTCTTCCCACAAGAAGCGCGATGCCATCTGGCCATTGGTCCTCTTATACATCCACATAAATATCCTCGGTGTCTATGGTATCTACGTGTTGCTGACCAGCGCTTCGTGGGCAACGATTCTGTTTAGTGAGTTCACCGGGTTAATCAGCTCCACGTGCAGCTTAACAATTGGAATTTGGGTTGACCTTGTGGCCTCCACATTCTTTTCGTAGCCACTCTCCTCACCCTCCTGGGCACCTTGGGTGTGACCGTGGGTGTGCATCGTTTGTGGGCGCACAGGACCTTCACGGCGTCTAAACCTTTGAGGGTTTTCCTCATGCTCTGCCAGTCGACAGCCGGTCAGGTTAGTTTTTCACGACGTCTCTGGAAAAAGCTTTCAGTTGCTCCCAGTTGAGACACAAACCGAATCGGTTAAGCTTTATGTTTTGGATGATTTCAGGGTTCCATCTACAGTGTGGTGCAGGCCCATAGACTACACCATGCCAAGTTCCAGCAGGACGAGGATCCTTTTTACAGCAAGCACAGCTTCATGTACGCCCAGGTGCGAGGCGGTCTGCTGAAGTACTCGCCCCAGCAGGAAGAACTACTCAAGGATATTGATATGTCTGATCTGGAGAAAGATGGCATTGTCATGTTTCAAAAGCGGTGGGTAGTCCTTCCTTTACTATGCTTTAATTTACAAACTAATCCTTTATCCTCTTACAGTTTCTATGTCCTGCTGTACATTTTCCTGAATGTATTGCTGTCGGTTAACACTCCTTTTCAGTACTTTAATGAGTCCATATCCGCCTCCATGTTCGTGGGCTTCTGGCTGCGGAGCCTTATTGTGATCAATCTGGGCAATCTGGTACACTCCTCCCACTTCATCTGGAGCATTCACAAGGGTTTTAAGCCCGCGGACTCGAACAGCATCTTTGTGATCACGAAAACCTATTGGCCACAATACCATTACCTTCTTCCCCGGGATTACCAGAGCGGCGAGTTTGGGGACTATGCCACGGGTATTGGTTCGGCCATGATTCGAGTGTTTGCCGCCCTCGATTGGGCCAAGGATCTGAAGACCATTGGATCCGTGGTGGTGCGTAAAGGACTCACGAAGGCAGTGGAAACGGGTCGACCGATCGTGGAGTGTATTGAGGAGGAGGCGCAGCTGGAGGAGAATGCCCTGCCCACCAATCATTTCCTCAATCGGGAAAAGTTCATGTGAATTTGTAGGAAATGATTGAATATAAAATGAGGGTTAACTTTATCCTATTTTATATAAAAATCAATTTAATAAATATGTTTTGAGATGTGTTTTTTTTCTGATAATATTTAGGTAAAAAGTTAACATTTGTTTATTTTATTTTTATATTCTTTGAAACTCAGCATTCATGATTTGACCGCCTAACCTGACATCCTTAAGAACAATGAAATTTTTAATTGTTGGATACTTTAATGACTAAAATTAACTAGCCTGCCTAGAGTCTTTTGTTTTCTTTAACTTTGTTTATATTTATTCGTATATTGCACCATCTGGCATCCACTAAAATGATGCGACAAATGGCCGCTGGAGTCGTAAAAATAAATTAACCGCCAACAAATCAGCGGGGCGGGAATAGAGTAAACTCAAAGCCTAATTATTGGGCAGCATAAAAACCCGGTAAACAGAGGTGCAGTTCCAACTTTGCGGTATTTTCGTGGGTTTTTTTATACCTGGCGAGGGGAACTGGAATTGGAAGTGGAAGTGGGAGGCCAGCGAGTGGGCGTGGCGGGATGCACTTGGCGGAGCTTTACGGGTTGCCCAACGAAAAAAACAAACAAGCTTACAAATCACAGGTCGGCCTAATTATGCATTTCCATAAATATGCACAGCAAAAAAAGGGGACTTATGTTATGGCAAAATTTTTAATGATTACAAATTATCTTTTCCCATAACTTTGCATATGTAGTTTTTACGATGTTTACTTCAACATGTTTATATTTTAATAGGAGTCTTTTGAAAATTTAAGATGAGGATAAATACTTAAATAGTCATGAACGATAAATAGTTTTAGGGTGGTCTTAGCTAAATATACAATCATAAATGGAGATACATTATGGGGATACATTCAGAGATCACTTAATATGTGATAAAATATAAGATCACTTACTTTCTTAATCATGACATTTAAGCTTGCTTTTCCCATCTCTAATCCCATTTCTCTTAGTGCATGTCACCAATTCGATTTCGAACCCAAATTCGAGTTCACCGCCTCTATCTATTTCGGATTGTTTACAAATGCCAATTGGTTTGGCAATCGTTACGTTTGCTTTCCCATGATCGGTTGGCTTTCGGGATCCGTTGTGGAAGTTTGAGATCCAAACATATATCCATACATACATATGGTCGGCAGGTGCTTTTCGCCAGGTTTATGGGTTTGCGCCTGATGATTTTATTACCCATACGCAATGTGTGCCCAGTGGCAATGTGGCTGATTGATTCGTCAATATTGACACCGCACTCAGTGTCTGCCCAGAAGCCTTTTCATCCAACCCACCCTTCTCAAAAACCCCATAGTTTGCTCATTAAACTTGGTTTGGGCAAACTGAACGCCTGACTTGGATCACATCGATCGATGCTAAAGACTCGCTGGGGTCTCGAGCCATTCTAATAACTCCACCCCTTCAACACCTCATAGTACACTCGACGCAACTCCACTGACTCACATTCGAGTCGGCCACTTGTACCAATTCCTAATGACCCCAGCTCTCTGAAGTGATTACTAATGAATTTGCCAGCTAAAAGCTGTCACACTTGAAACATTTCTTTGACCCGACGAAAGGTTTAATTGGTGGGAAAAACTACTTAAAAATTTTAGTTTGTTAGTTAAAGGTATCATGTTTGAGGCGTAAAGTTTAAACAATCTGTAAACAGAGTCCTTAAGTTCGAAAATATTGTCAAATGTTAATAGGATGTGGTATGTTACGCATTTGCAAATAGCTATTTAAAATTAATTTTAATAAATTAAATACAATAGTTTTATAACAAGGCAAATCGTATATTTTTTGTCTATTATATGGTATATATAAGAAGTAATAATAATATGGTATAAGTAATAATATTCAAAGGAAAACAAAAAAAGGAATAGGGGTTCAAGAAGATGTCAATGGTTGCCTTTTAAAGTATGTTCCTTAAGTTGCTACCTATAGTTTTGTTTTTTATTTATCTTGAAGAAAACTTTCTTAATAATTGCCAGACTTTCTTTCAGTGTATCCCTATTCACTTCACCGCCATTTGTGTTGTGGCAGATTCGAGATCTGAGATCTGTGATCCGCTCCGCTCTGTGGCAAATTGCAGTCGCGTCGCGTTCTGCGCTTTGTTTAGTGTTAATTTGTTTTCCATAAGCCGACTGAGCGACAGTTGAAGGTTGCACAAATACGTGAAGTACGCAAAATCGGTGTTGACTGGGCGGATTGTGAAATACTAAGCTATAACTATGGCCTATGACTGTGGCTACCACATGGCAAAAAGCCCAAAGCCCATGCCCGGGTTCGATTCGGACAGGTGTTGGATGCTGTGGGGTCAGACCCTGCTGCTGAATTTTGGAGAAAAAAACGCCAACAATTCACGGACTAATCGCTGGCAAATTAAAGTCCCTCTTGCGCATGAATGGCTGCCTTTTAAGCGTGCGGCCAAGAACAGTGGAACGGGGAAGCAAATTGGGCTTAAAAGATATTTATATTTGAGTACTGAATAATAGAGAGTTGGCTTTGTTCGGGGGAACTTTTTCGGGCCAGAACCCTGAAGCCAACTCATATAAAATGCTGACGGTGCGAAATGTGAGGCTGCGCAATATATCAAAAGTGGTTTCCAATGGCTTCGCATTTGGCTGTTTGTTTATAAACAAAGCATACTCCGGACAATTTCCAAGCGTTTTTTCTGTGCCTTTTGCATAATTGGCTAATGGCCGGAGCTTACAACATCAGCACCTCATCAACGGCATCTTGCAGATACATGCCTTCACAGTTCAACGCCATTCATTTATCTATTCAGACACTCTAACAAAAAAGTACCTTTCAAGTTACGGATTTGCTTGTTTAAATGGTCTTTTTAAAATTTAGAAATAAATATGTTGTTATACCCTTGAAAGGTATTGTAAATGTAGTCCGAGGCTTGAAATGATGTAAAGAATTCATTTCCGACCCTATAAACAATATATATTCTTGATCAGAATGAACAGATGAATCGATCTAGCCATGTTCTTAGTAAAAATTAATACATTTAAAAATTTTTTAAGGGGTTACATCATTAAAATTGTCAAAAAATGGTAAAAAAAAATTGAATGTTTTAAATTCAAAAACTGAGTACACAGATTAGTTGGCGCTATAAAAATGAGCACAGAACAGCTTTTCGAATTGAAATTAACGCAGTTTTGGCTTAGTTATGATGTTTGAAAAACACTGATTATTTAAAAAATTGACTGTTTTTATGCTTTTTTTTAGGGTATTAGTATTAATCCGAAGCTTATAACACAATGAAGGAATCATTTCCGATCCTATAAATTATATATATTCTTGATTAGAATGAACACCTGAATCGATCTAGCCATGTCTTGTGGGAAAATAAATTTTTATATTTTTTCCAAAATTTCAAAAAAAGATAAGGGGTTACATCGTTAAAATTGGCAAAAATTCAAATTTTTTAAAACTATAAATTGAGTATGCAGATTTATTGACCTAATAAAAATAAACATAGGAACGGTTTTTAAACTACAATTACTGCATTTTTGACTTAGTTATGAGTTTTTTTAACTTTGAATTTTTGAAAAAACCGACATGGAAAAATATCGATTAAAAGAAAATTTTACGCTTCTTTATGATTTTATGATTTTTGGACAAAATTTTTGTACATTTAAGATATAATATTTATTGACTACCAGAATTTATTATAATCTTCTATTTGATTTTAAAACATATAAATGCTGTATTATTTTAGTAATTTTTGAATCACAATTCAAATACATTTTTGCAGTGCATTCACAGTGGGTCGAGATCAAAGGGCTCAGTCGCGTGACACTGTTAATGTCCGCAGATTCGGATTTCGATGAAGATTCGGTTGGCAGTTTTGGGGATTTGGGGAGCTGTAAACACACATTTTACGAGGGGCCAGGGCCCGAGCTTCCTTTGGCCGGCGGTTTTATTTCGCCGCGGGTTCGCTGCTTTTGCTTTTGGATTTAATTAAGTTCGGTTTCTGTTTCTGTCGCTGCGGTTACATAAAGAGAAAGCAACTCTCGTCTTCAGTGGGTCTCCGGTCTGGAGTCTCCGTTCCCCACTCTTTCAGCCCTGCTCCAGTCCTCAGTGTTTTTTTTTGGGTTTTTGGTTTTTCGGCTGCTGTGCCGAACTTCATGATCATCGAACGGCTTTTGACTTTGGTCAACACCACGCACACAAGCCCAGTTAAGAGATGATGACTGGTATCGATTTTGTTGTCTTTATTTTTTGTTATTTTTAATGGCAGAATCCGCTGACAGCGTTTGAAAAAGAAATCGCCGGAATTGATAGGTGTGTAGAGGGTCTCATTTAAACCCAGAATATAACGGGGATATAGCTTTTTAGGGCCTTGGCAACAGAAGATCAACTAACTAACTTAACTTTAGCTCCACCAATTGACTCTTTGAACTGCCAAGCAAATCTGAATTTAAGTGTATCAAAGGAAATTAGATGCACCTGAGCGTCTCTGATTGGAAAACTCGGATGATTATTGATAAGGAGAGCCGCTAGACTTCTTGGCGGTCACCTGAACATTGGTCAAGCCAGGTAAGAAAGGAGCGAGTGAGATACCTGATGGGTTGGATAAGAAACAACATACATATGTTATTGCAAATTTTGGTGCAGACGTTGTGGTACTGTTTATGCTAAGTATTTAAACAAACAAAAATATAGAAATTGTTACCAACTAAGCTTAAAATATATATTATTTAAGTCGATATTTTTATGTACAATATTTTTTATAAGTCAAAGGTTAAAAACCTCATAACTCAGACAAAAAAGGATTAATTTTAATTTGGAAACCCTTCCTATGTTAGTTTTTATTAGGTTTATAAATCTGCATACTCAACTTTAAATTTCAGAAAATTAATGTTTTTGCCAATTTTTGACAATTTTAATGATGTAACCCCTTATAAAATTTTGAAAATTTAGAAAAAATGTAGGAAATTTAATTTTTGACCGGACATGGCTAGATCGATTTGGCTTTTGATGCTGATTAAGAATATATTTGATTTTTAGGGTCGGAAATGATTCTTTCAAATCATTACAAGCTTCCGATTAAAATTATAATACCATACAAGGGTATAATTAAGCTCGAATTATCGAATCAGAATAAGTTTTGAATACTTATATAAAGTATATTAAATAATTACAGTTTCAAAAAATATAAAATTATAAAATGAACTCTAAACATATTGAATAATGTTGGTATAAACTAATTTAAAAGAAAAGTTATATGATTAATCATAGATTATTATTAAACCTCATTAATTCAGAGTCTTAACCCATTATCAAGAGGTGTTTGATCTGCTGACTTAAAGGGCATTGAAATCTCTAATTAAATTTAATTGGAGGAAGTAAAAAGGTGTTCTTCTAGTAACACCACTCTGAGATTATTTATAGGGAAAGCATCATGAAAATTACGTCTGTTTAAGCCATATAACATAAGTGAATGTGGCCATTCCCTGGGTCTTTCCTAAGCCCCCCGAGTGTGTGTGTCTCTTGAGTGTACCGCGGAGACAAAGTTTGACCTACTGATGCATGACACCGAAAGCCCCGCACATTTCGCGTAAATTCGAGGTAGCGCACCGACTGCGCTGCTGATTCTGTGACGAAGTTGGGAGCCGAAGTTTGGAGCCGAAGTTTGGAGCCGAGGCTTTATGCTAAAGCTTATGGGAGACCCGAAGTTGAAGCCGCAGCCGAAGATCGATGGCGGTTACAGGTGGTTGGTCGTGTGTAGAGTGTGTGCGTGTGTGTGTGGTGGCATAATCTTGGCCTTCTTGCCTGCCGCTGTCACCCCATTTCTTTCTTCGCCATACCTCTGTGCGTCAGTCAGTCGGTCAATCAGTCAGACAGTCAGCAAGTCTCTGTTTCCGTCTCAGCCGCAGTCGCCGTTGGCTTCGGCATAGCCGCTCTGCAGCTCTGCCCAGGCGAGCGGCCGGCCATAGGTAGGAACTTACGCTTTTGGCTACGATCATTTGTCTACGGAACGGCGGCGCGTTAAGTTCGTTAGACGCGGAAAAAACCCTAAAGGCAAGGGCTCCCTTGACAGGAAAAACTCTCGAAACGACCCCATCCCGCGACCGCTGCAGTGACGACAGTGTGTCTTGTAAGAAAGCAAAAACTCCGCCAGAGACAGAGCATCCAAGGCCCTGCGAGGTAGTACTACGGCAATTAAGGCCTGTTGTGCGGTGTGTGTGAGTGTCATAGCTGTGAAGAAAGTTTGGAGTGTGTTTGCGCGTTATTGCGAAACGCGGTTTCCGCCGGCTAAAAGTCAAAGCCAAGCCCAGACCAAGGAAGCCATCGATATGGGTCACCTGTCCACCGCGGAGCGTGTGTGCACCAAGACGCCGGCCATTTCGGGTGATGCTAGTCCTCCGCAGCTCCTGGCCAGGCGCTCCAAGCTCCAGGGCAATGGGGATGCCCAGCAGGTCCGGCGCGGCGAGGACTCCTCCCCGGAGTTGCCGTCACGTAAGAAATTCCCACCACCCCGGCAGGACTCGCAATCCTCGCGCGGTGTCATCCCCAGGATATTGTTGAGCATGTGCCCAAGGATCAAATCAATCTGCAGGAGTACACACGCACCTTTGTCGGCGATCGCGTCTTTGGTATCCAGTTCAAGGCCCCACTGAAATGGGATAAAGTCATCCAGATCTCGCTGCTCCATATGGCGGCATTCGTCTGCCTGGCAACCTATCCGCTGGACAAGCACGACTGGTATACCACCTTATGGTGTAAGTATATCGAATCTATCGGGGTCATATGTGGTGGTATGGTCCAACTCCAAAACCATTCATCCCATCCGGCATTGCGTAATGCGGCCCACTCTCTCTTTCTATCACCTCGAGAGCCGGGAAATAAGGTGGATGGGGGGAAAGGTGTGGAAACAAAGAGTCATCTCTGATCGATGCTGACCACAGAAAATGTGACACTGAAAGAAATACTATGACATACTATCAATACTATTTATCATTAATTTTTTAAGGGAATTAAAAGGCTGCAAAAGAAGTTCTTGGGATAGAAAGAAGGTTTGCATTAATTTTTGTAGGGCATTTGGGATTTAATTTTAAATTTCTGTATATAATTTACATCCTAATTATCAACTTTAGAGGGAGTCATTTAAATTATGGTTTATTTAATTATTGAAAAATATTTTATCTCTATTAACATAATTAAGGATTGGTTTTAACTATATCTTATTTGAAATAGGTTATAAGGCCTGTAAAACCGAAAGAGTTAGGATTTTTCTCTGAGTGTATGGATGGTGTTGCTGATGATGATAATGTTGTCTTTACGACTTCCACTCCCCTTCGGAGTGTTGCCCCAACAATTATTTGCAATTTAGCGCGCCCTGCGCCCAAAGAGCCCCTTGGCGTTTCATTTCTTTGGGCCATTACAAAACGCGTCCCCTTGTTATTGCCTTTAATTGATTACTGCTTAACAACTTGCTGTACCGTCTTACCCCATTCCCCTTATTTCCCCACCTGCCCTTCAGCTTCTGTCTTTTTGTTCAAAGTCTGGGTGTTGAAATCTCTTCTTCATTTGCCATAGCTTTTGGGTGTTGAGGTGAGTCTCGAGTCTTTAGTTTTCTTTTGCTTTCGACTGGCATGCAATTTCAGTCTCAGCACAAAAATTTGACTGACACAGGTGGATTTTGGAAAACAAAAACAAAAACAACAAAAAATGTAATAAAAACAACAAAACGTGCTGGGCCAAATAAGTGGCCAAGAGAGCTAGAATGAGCGCGAAATGGAAACAAGAATCGCTTGACACAAATTTATTTAGGTCTTCGACAGATCAATTTCATAGTTAGCCTTGGCGACTAGAAATTTCGGGAATTCTTCATGGAGTTCTTTTAATACTATGAAGATCAACTTACAAGGACTGAGTTCTAGGGTTTTGAATGTTAAATATCAGTAATAAATATCTAGATATATATATTTCTGGGGACTTTCATTAAACATTCTTCTAAGAACACTCTCTAATCTTGATCTTCATCTTGCTTAAGAATCAGCTTCTTGGAATTAAACGCAAATGACTATAAATATATATCTAAATTGATCAATAAATCTATCTTTTTGCTCATTTAATTTCAAGATATCTGTCTTTAAGATTTCGTAGATATTTAAGCTGTACTATAACTCCGCATACTTGTTCCAAAGTCAAATATTTCGTAAGAAAAAGATGATTTATCCGCTCGGTAAACACTGACTCGATTTATGAGCACTACACATGCGAGCAGAGCAAAGCAAAAAAATAAGTTGACATTGAAAAGAGCCAACGTCTGATGGTGGAATGGGGATCCTTGGTAACCGATTTCGTTTTTTCATTGGAATTACCAGAGCATACGATGCTGGGTACTTGGGTACTTCCCTCTTAATGGCAGTACAGCGAAAAATGCCTTAATACCTAGTCATTTTCAATATTTATTGCGCATTGTGCGGTCGGACAGGCTCTGAATAAAACATAAAAAATACCAAAATATCCTTGCCCTGAACGATGTCCCTATTTGGGGCGTCGAAGCTCGTAAATATTTTGGCAAATTGCCCAACGAACGTGCAGCGCCTAAAGATGCTCCCTGGGAATTATCATCTTTTGCCCGGTTTTGTAGATGGCGAAAATTGTCGTGTTCAGCCCCAAGATATTGATTAAATTCGACAGACTTCAAGGGAGAGAAAAAAGCCGCCGCTTAAGGGGACTTACATAAGCGTCTTAACATTGGGCGCTAATGAAGATGGCCAAAAACCAAAAAAAAAACCGTAACATTTATATAAAGTTAAGTTGAAGTCAACGCATCGTATTTTTGACTCAGGGACGTATATTTGATTTCGTCTATTTTGTAGTCGTAGGATCAATGTAGGAATATGTAATGCAGCTAAGCGATTATTCAATGATCTGCAAGTCAACAAAAGAAGACTACGAAATGGTCTGAACTCGAACCCGGCACTCACCTGAGTGCGCTGCACTGCATTTACAATTCAAATATTCAAACAAAAGGTTCAAATAACAAACCGAAAAACATTCAAATGCAGTTGCCATCAAGCTTAAACAATACCAGAATAAGAAGAAAGAAGAACCAAGATCTATGTTTGATTTGCAATCTATTAAATCTTAGTTTAATGTTTCATATATCTTTCTAATATTACTCTATGAGTTTTCAAAACCATCATAAATTGAACTTTATATGCAGATAAAACGATCTTTGGTTTACAATTCGATTCAAAAGCTTAGGTAACACCCATTTGTGGGCATACCAATGTTAAGTTCGATCATTTCCGCACTCTTAATTGTTATTATTTTTGTTATACTATTTTTTGGTAAGGCGGAACTGGTTTCTGTCGCAACGTGTGGTGGAGGTTAATCTTTCCACCAGTCAATCGATCGATGAAATTCCCATTCAGAGAAATCGTTAATAGTTCATTAGTGTGGATGCCGAAATGTTCGAGACTGGGAGCATAGCGCTCCTCTTCGATTAGATGATGCGGAAAGCCCCTTCCCAAGTGTAATGATGCTGGGGGATAATTACTTCAAATTGCAATTACCCGATTCAATGGGATGGGGTGACAATGGAATTTTGCATATATTCTAATTGAGGAACTAATGGCAAAGTCTGTACCGGGATTCAGGTGATTCGCATATTTCTGACGATTGCCGGAATCGTGATCAGTCATTCACCGCATCAAATAGTTTCCCCCCAGAAACTTAAGACCTTGTGCGGTCTCTTGGGTCTATCTTTTATACTCCATTTGTTTGTCGGTGGAATTAGCACCCAGCCTCGAATAGCTCAATTTGCGGAAATGTAATTTCGGGTTTTTCATCTCGCATTCAATTAGCACGCAAGACACACTTTATAGACCCGCACTTACAATTAAATATGTTTCTGACTCTTCTTCAGCACTCTTTGTTGGCGGCGTGGCTGGATTTGGAGTTACGGCCGGAGCCCATAGATTCTGGACACATCGCAGCTACAATGCCAATCCGGTGCTGCGATCCCTTCTGATGATCTCCTACTGCGTGGCCGGACAGGTGAGTCAAGTGTGAATTCAGGGATCGCGAATGCCACCTGCAGATTCGTCCGCAATTTGCCAATTCATTTCAAGCGCCACCTTCGGTTTTGTCGCTCTGTTGTTTTTTTTTTTTTGTTTTTTTTTTGGGACTGTAATGCAATTAACAATAATTGCATCATTAACTATAACAACTTAATGCCTGTCGCCGCTGACAAACTGTAAAATTGACAATTCAAACTACTCTCAGCGGCGGCAGACAAAAGTGTTGTGGCTTTGTGTTCGAGTATCTCGCAGATACATTTGTCTTATTTAATGGCCGCAGCGATTAAGCGCAGCGCCTTAGACTCTGACTGAGAAAAATACAGTACAATGCGATCACTGAGCTTGGAGCACTGAGAGGCCTGAAGATTAAGAGGAACTATCAAATTTAATGACGTGTTAAATGAGCCCCGGCTGACCCACAAAAGGCACAGTCTCTGGGAGATTCGGAAGCTCCCAGCGACAACCTTTTATTTTATTTACTGGGAAAACTAATCCCTTTTCTATCCCCTTTCCAGAATACCCTGTACGACTGGGTGCGAGATCATCGAGTCCACCACAAGTACTCGGAGACGGATGCTGATCCTCACAATGCCAACCGTGGCTTCTTCTTTGCCCATGTGGGCTGGCTGATGATGCTGAAGCATCCGGATGTACTGCGTCGTGGTCGCCAGATTGACATGACCGACATTTTGGCTGATCCCGTGGTGCGCTTCCACCAGAAGTACTTCTATCCGTTGAAGTTTTTCTTCTGCTTCATCCTGCCCACTGTGATCCCGGTTTACTGCTGGGGCGAGACCTGGAGGCTGGCCATCACCCAGCAGTGCATCTTCCGTTACGTAAGCAGCCTGAACTTTACGTGGTTGGTGAACAGCGCCGCCCACATTTGGGGATCCCGTCCGTATGACAAGTGAGTATACGTAACATTTTGTATATATTAAATATAAATATTATGCTGACATGGGTTTGTGTAAGCATTTATTTAGGTCAGTGAATGCAGATCATTGTTTACATACCTTGAAAAGGTAGTATAGGTCAGTCGTAGTGCTACTTTTCTCTTTTGGATTTTATAGTATTCATAACCATTTTGATGACCTTGCTTAAAAAACAAAAGTCACATGCTTTAACACCTTCGAAATAACTCATAAATAGAATAAGTTGCAAATATACTCTCAAGACCTTCAAGGTTTATAATTACAAATGAAAAGAATTATATTCTGATGTTATTTTTACTTTATTAAAACTAGAAGAATTAATTAAAACCAAACCTCTCACAAAAACTAGATTTGTATATCGAAGCTTAAGTTTTATGTTTATAGTCTCGAAGTGAGTTTAGACTTCTCAGTTTTAGTGCTTAATTGATATGCAGAAATAATCAATTCGGGAAGATAAATCCAACTGATTCTAATTCTCTTCCCCAGGCGTATCATGCCCAGCGAGAACATCTATGTCTCCGTGTTGGCCATGGGTGAGGGCTGGCATAACTATCACCACGTCTTCCCCTGGGACTACAAGGCAGCTGAGCTGGGTAACTATACCTTCAATTTCACCACCATGGTGCTGGATGGCTTCCACAAACTTGGCTGGGCCTGGAACATGAAGCAGCCATCCAAGGAGCTGGTGCGTCGCACTCTCGAGAAGTACGGTGATGGATCGCATCCCTCCCACTTGGCCAAGAATGGCAAGGATCTTGCCCAGATGGCGGCCACCCAGATGGTGGGCAACTTTCACTACTCCGAGGTCCCTGATCCAGAGCTGGAGTACGATGCCGAGTCCAGCAGCACGGAGAGCGCCAAGCTGGATGAGAACGAGAACGAGGGCGAGCGGATGAAGAAGTCAAAGTCAAAGTGCGCCTAGGGTTTGGATGTGTTATCAAGGGAGGGAGGGTGGATCGGGGATCCAGGATCGTCACTTAATCTTGCATCTATGTATCTGGAGCACCAGAGAGCGGGACCATAGTCGATAATCGTTTTTTTAAATTAAACCTATTCTATTTCTATCATTATCGCTATCTATATCACAGAGCACAGCAACGGTTAACACTCAGTAAGACACTCACACTCACACTCAGTCAGACACTCACTCATTCCACTATCGTCATTTCTGTAGGTTTAGGTATTTAGCAGTTTAGCACGGTACGACATAAGTTAAGACACACAAATTTCAATATAAACGACCACACACAAAAAAGGCTCTTCGTTCCACAAAAAAAATTTTTAAAACAAAAACGGCGAGACAAATAAATAAAAACAAAATAAATATTTACAAATAAAAATAAATAAGAAAAATCAAATTGCATTTCAATTAACTTATGATGGGTATCTTTGACGGAATTATCTGTGTGCCATTGACAAATATCAACGATGGAAATCTTCCATTCACACACTATGAGATATGATGTAAATTTTGAGGTTTCTGGTAGTTTTCGGAAATATTTTCTTAAAGCCGCATTATATATTTACATATATATATATTTTGGCTCTCTTAATGATTAATGTCAAGTGAAGTAGTCTGAAAATAAATCCAGCAGCCAGTGAATCATTAAAAATGTGTCTGAAGTAGTCTGTATTTACCGAGAAATGATTCTGCTTTTGTTTTTCTTGAGTCAATGTTGTGCAACTTTCCTAAAAATTCGACATGCTCAAGTTGAAGTGTCATTTCCATTTCATTAAGTTGGTTTTATTTAATAAGTTTCTGGCTTTCACTGTCACTTATTTTCTGAAGTATGAGTGTATGTTATTTTGTAAATAAGTAAAAACTACAGTTTGTTTAAAAGATAATAAACAAACAAAACGTTTTTAAATTCTATTTTACGCGGAATATAAAAACCTAAATAGGTATTCAACCTAATAGTTAAAACATGACATTGACCTACCATTTGATATTAAATATTGAATTTCTTGAACAATTTCGAGTGTATTATATATAAACCATTCAATTTACAGGTAAATGTGACTATTTTCTTTATAGAAAGGTAACGCTACCCATAATAGCTCCAATAAAAGTAAATTGTGCTAAGATAAATATGTATCTTAGCGGTTAGAGGAAATATGGTAACTAGTGCGGGCAAAGGCCGCTTTATGAATGTATCTCAGAAGGTGTAGTATCCATGAGATAGTACTCCCACGTGGAGTATTATTCACAGAAGCTAGCTTTAGCTGCAAATTTAAGTGTGGGACTTGGCTTTCACTCATCTGACCATTTGACCCGATTTATCTTAGGGCCTCTGACGTACTTAAATGCAAATTCAAATGAAAATGGGAAATGGAAATCATTACAATCACCATTATTTGTCATCTAAATGACTTTTATCAAATATTCGTGGGCAGAGGATGTGGACGTGGTGGAGTTAGCATCTGCTCGCAGGCGCCAACTGGTTTGACTTTTGGACTACGTGACCAAAGGTGCATCCAAAGCCGCGATCACGACTTCGTACAGTCACAGGAACTGACGTAAAGAACACTGCTACTAGATGCTTGTAATTATAATCGTTCCTTAATCGATTTGGCACTACCACCACCACCTGTCCCTTGGCTCCTCTGATTGAATAGGCCTACGTGCACTTGGCACGTACTCCGCACGCAGAGCGAGAACCTTGAAAGGGTTCAAGCAAGAATTCAAGGGGAATTCCTGGAGCATCCCACTGACAGCAGGAGATCCCAGAGAGATTCAAGTGGAGGGGAGTTCCCGCTGATCATAAAAATTCATGACTCCTACTTTACTTTGTCTTTATGGGTTTCCTTCGCAGACAGAAAACTCATGTTAATTTTTTAGTTAATATTTAAATTGCAAGTTGAATCAGAAAATTGTGTTCTTGTTCGAAAAGGGAAGTATCTGATTGAAATAAGAAGCTGCCTTATATAGAGGTGGAGGTGACATCCTTTCAAGGAGTCTTAAAGTAGATTTTCTTAATGAAATTCAAGAGATATCTGCCATCTCTTTAATAGCATAATTATTTCTCGATCTTTTACAAAATAATAAATATTACTCTCTGTGTACCCTGACTTACCGCCACTTGTATGGGAAGGTCAAGTGCTTTGCCAATATCAACAGTCCCAGCCACTGAATGACCAAAAAACGCCCCAACCTGATCGTGTCATCGTCATCTCATTAAGGCGCTGACCGTGCGACAGTCATCGTCACCTAATTGGTGACGACCCAGTGGACACCAAACGAGCCCAGGCTATTCAGGCTATTCTTGTGGGCCTAGTTAATTGAAGGTTGCTTCATGGATGGTATCAAGTTTACATCGAGGCATCGGATAGTCACTCAATGGAAAAGATGAACGATTGCTTGAGTGTCGGGCCTAAAATATAAACACAAAACCCTTGAAGGTAAGTAGGTTTTTGTTTAAAGCCCTTGCAGGGTATTCTAATTTTAGTCATTAATATTTAAAATTTAATCTTTTCATGAGTTACTAAACCAACTGTTTAACTTACATTTCTTTAATGAATGTATACTTAACCCTAAATGCGATAACTATTTTACTTGACTAGTTCATTTTGGCAAGTATTAATTAAATGCTGCCTTTCTATATAGGGGCGGAGGCAGATTTCCATGGATTATAATTAACCTGTGGGAAATAATTGCATGGAAAACTTAAATAGATAGAAAAATGAACTTTGTTCAACAATTATTTGGAAAGACTTTATAATAGTATAAAGACCTTTATATTTTTTTACGGCTCAAAGTTAAACAGGTTAATGTAGATTAACACAAGGAAATTATTTAATGTATATAACAAAATGCCTTAAATTGTATTAATAGAATACGCATTTTTTCATTTATTACCCCTTCTGCTCGGGTTATTTTTAGCTGGAATTTCTTCCATTTATAAAAACAGAATGTGGAGGTTCCCGAAGCATATGTAGATTTCTAGATTTGCATTTTTATAAATAGTAAAAATTAAAGAGCTTAGAAACCTTTGCGAATTATAAAAAGAGAAATAGGAATAAATAAAACGTAAATCAGTTTAATTATTTAAATATACCTATCCTAATGCATAACTTTAGGCTATTTAACTAAACATTAATGGCATCCTATTGCTATTCCGGTATTAACTAGATTTTTCTTTGGTAACTGAGAAGAGCATTCACCATATAGTGATCTTTGTCCCTTTGTTGTTAACGGCGATGACCCGGTCAGAACTCTTGATTTCTCGACTGAAGATTAATGCGAAATATTTGGGATTTCGTTTCGAGCATTTCCCCAAATTTGGCTCACCAAAGAAGCCTAATTTGGCTGTCTAGCGCTAGGCCTATGAATTTGCATAATATCTAAGCCCCGCTTTGTTATTTATGGCAGATCAGGTCCGCCTTCGGTCCAGCAAAGGGCCTTGACTGGATCCGATCGCCACGCGCAGTGGTGTGTGGGTGGGCTGAAGGTGTCATCTCCTGAGATCTGCCGCACGTTTGCTTTTTCTTTTCGATGAAAAAGTGAAAATAAGTGGTAAATACCCGCCACAATTGCTCGTTAAATGTTTTAATTACGCGCGGGAAAAGGTTGCAGCGGTCGTAAAGTAATCAAGATAGCGGTCATTTAATGACGTGACCGAGCGACAATTTTCAATTTCCAGGCAGCACTGCCCAGCAAACCGTTAATACGACTAACCTTGCCGCGATCTACGTTTAAAGTTGGTGACGAAAACCACAAAAAATGAAATGTTGAGTGGTCCGAAATTTGCGTAACTTTTGCAAATGAAAACAGAAAGCTCGAATCTCAAACCATTCCGCTTTCCTAAGCTAATTGGAAGCCGATGCGATGTCATCGAAGAAATAGACAAAATAATATGCACAGTACGAAATATCGTCAGTTGGGTTTTGAATTGAGATTTTTAAACCATGTTTTGTTATATATAGATATAAAAATTATCAATTAAAAAAATTTGTATTAAAATTATATAGTCAGAAGCTTTAAACTACGTGAAGAAGTCATTTCCGACCCTATAAATCATATACATTCTTGATCAGCATGAACAGCTGAATCGATCTAGACATCTCTGAGCTAAATTTAATTTTTTCAAAATTTTGAAAATTTTTTAAGGGTTACATCGTTAAAAATGTCAAAATTTGTATAATTTTTAAATTTTTATTAAGCATGCAGGTTTATAAACCCAAAGAAAACTAAAGTAGGAATGGTTAAGGAATTAAAATTAATTCATTTTTGGCGTAGTTAGGTGATTTTGAAAGTTTGATATTTGGAAAAGGGTTTCATAAATTTCAATTCAAGTAATGTGAATATTGAAAGCTCAAGTTGTTCCCTGTGTATTGATCACCTTTATATTTTAAAGGCTTTACCTATACCTACACCTGTGCTCGCACATCATAGTCAGCCTCTCCGGCGACTTCGGAACTGGTATCCACAAGATACCCATCTGCGGGGTGAGAGTATCTATGCAATTGCGAGTGGCGATTTTGAAAGGGCGCCATGTGTTGCAACCTGTGCGTGTGTTTGGGTTTTTCTCGTGTCGCGAGTCTGCGTGGCGAACGAGGGTCCAACGGGGGACCCATCATTAGCTTGATATTTGATTTATTTGTGCTTTTCGGCCTGGGCGTATTTTTGGCTTTGAAATTGATTTCTTCGATAGCGGAGAAAAGAAACCGCTTTGTGGTTCCATTTTTATTGTCTCGCCAGCGGCTTTTGCAATGAAACGGCCTGCGGCGGACCCATACCTACGGCTACACAGAGCTGTTGAAACTCGTTTTTAAAATTCGTCAAAGACAATGCGAAGAGAAAAAGAGCGCTAAAACCTACAAAACATATTTAGTTCAAACGTCTTGTGACTTGCACAAAAATTTTGAATAAGTGAGACATATAGGAAAGAGCCTTTACACAGCGGTATCTCCATATTTGCGGATTTTTGGCCCGCTCATGCTGATCCACCGACCAGAGCCAAAGCGACTGGTTTCGACTGCCATCAGCGGCGGTGGCTTCACGTGCTGCTCCCCCGATTATGGATGCATTCTGCAAATCATTTTCCACAGCCAAAACGAATAGTTGCGAAAACCCTTGACGACGGACTCAGCTGCAGGCAAAATTAATGGTTACACGGTGAGAAATAGGATTCAGATGCTGGTTCGCTATGCTCGAGGTCAGTTTAGGGTTTTTAAAGATCTTATCATATTGTTATTAACTTATATTGCCAAATTCGCATTGGGTCATATCAGTTTTATCAGTTAATATTTAATTTGTTTATAGGAGATATCTCCAATTAGCTCAAATACATAAATTGAATGAGATAGTTTGGCCTTTTTATGATTTAAATTCATGATTATAAAAATAAGAGAGATGTTTAGGTTATTAAAGATAGAAATCAAGTACTATCGAATATTTTTGATTCGTGTAACCACTTGCAACCTGCAGCAACACCCGCTCAGACAGTTAGAGTCATTCCATCAAAGTTTATCAGCTTGTGGGGCTTGTTGCAGCAACCGCTTTGACATTTGTCCCCCTTTGTCAGCAATGGTCGTTGTGGACGTCGGCCGGCTGACACCGGACAGTGAAAAACAAAGCAGCAGACCTTGCGCAACTTGCTGGCCAGTTTTTTGTTTAGATGATTGGGGCAGGCATTTCTTATAAGTGCACACAATATCCGGCCTCCAAGCTCGAGGCGTGCATTACGGCGAAACTATTTGCAAATTCAGAGCTAATGACATAGACCTTTCAGAATTTTATAGTTTTGGAATTTGCATAGTATTTTGCTTGGCATTTTCTTAGTGTTAGGAATTTGAATTTAAAGCTATATATTGCGAATGCCGAAGATGGGCGACTGCCTGACGAACTCGTCCAGCTTGGACTGGAATAGTTCCGAGGTAACCACCGTGCCGGGCGTCCACAGCGGATCACGTACGACAAACTCCACCCACACCTTGGAATACAGCTGCTGGAGCAGCTCCTTAACATTAATGGCCGTTGTGTCCGTGTTGAGAACGAATCTAAAATGAAGAGAGGAAGGATTTAGTTAGGTATCCCTTAAGGAAGCCCTTAAAATTGCCTCAGACATAAATAATAATCCCTGTTCTTAGACAACACTCACTTTAAGCCCGATGGAGTTTCTAGATAATGAAGGGCGTAGCGATTCGTTTTGTAGTAGAGGAATCCCTCGCGCGGATCGTGTGGTGATATTTTGCTTACAAAGGACTTGATGGAGAAGAGCATGCCGTAGGTGAGCTTGGCCTCCTGGAAATGATTGAAATAAAGATATTTTAAGAAATATTAAAAGGTACTTTCTCACCTCCTCGCGGGTAATACCCGACTTTTTGGTGCGATTCCATTCGGCGTAGTGCAGCAGTGTTCCGTATTTGTCGAATATGTACAGATTGAAGATGGTCATCTTGTGGCAGCCAGTTTAAATGGCATTGATCTATTTTAATTATATTATTTTAAAAATTTAATAAGATTTTTCATTCACTTTTCACTGCAAAACAAAAACATTCAAAGCCCGAGCTGCCAACTTGCTTTATTCTTCTACCTAAAAATACCGAAACAGCTGATGGCTGGCGATAAAAGTAAACAGTGCTGCCCATCAAGTGAGTTCTAAATTTAAAATTTAAAATTGTTCGAATTTGGTAAATATAGGAAATTTGAATTTGAAATCCCTCGAAACTGTCAAAGACAACAACTTAAATTAATGAAATTAATGCCTTCGGGAGTTTATTGATTGCTATGCACAGAAATTTGGCTAAAAGCTTTACACAGAAACTAATGAGCTCTTAAGCTTTCTTGATTAATTCACAAGGCATTGTATAAATGGATTTCATTTCTTCCTTGTTTGTATTTAAAAGCAAAAGCTATATCATCTTTTAGGTTTGCTTTTCATTTTCTCTTGTTTGGATATTCCACCTTTTTCAGTAATCCTTGGGCTTTCGCAGACATATTTTTTGGAACTTCACTTAAAGTGACCTCTGGCATTTGATAACACCTGGTTAAAACTTCTTGCGATCGCGTCTGCTTTTGTTAGTTCCCTCCTTTCCTGGCTTACCTGTAATTAAAAAGTATAGTTTTTATCAAGGTAGAGTTTAAAATAAATAGAATACGATTACTCACTTGGTTTTGGGTTCCGGAGGGACTCGCGTCGGTCATTGTTTCGGAAGCTGGCAACGAAGTTTTCCTGATGGGTGAGCATCGCACCCTCAGAGGTGGGATGACCACTACTGGCCCCCACTCGGCGGGATTGGTAGTCCCGGTTCTCTACTCTCAGCCGCTCGTAGTGATCCTCCGGATACTGGCGCCGAATCACTCCGGAACGACTGTTGGTATTGAGGCTGCGACGGTTTTTGGTGGGACGATTGTCGTCGGAGCTGGCAGGAATCCGATGTGGATGCCGCGGCGGCGGCTCCTCTGGACGACGTCCGTGGGCGGGATACGGCCGCTCTGACGAACGACGGCGCTTGGATTCGCCAGTTCCGCCCCCGGTATGGGATGGGCGACGGGTCTCGCCGCCGTCTTGGGGATGTGAGCTCTTCGATCTCCTCCGGGACTCAGTCACCCCAGTGGCCATATTCAGCCATCTTGGGGTTTCCTTGGCGTGGCTTGTGATCTTGGAAACCCTGCGGGATCCCAACTCAGCACTGGTGACATTCGACAATCTCCTGTATTCCTCCTTGTGCGTTCTCCTAGACTCTCCACTGGTGATATTGGGCAAGCGCTTCAGATCCTCACTCGTGACGTTGCGCAGTCGCTGGAAGTCAACCACACCACTGGTGATTTTCGGGATGCGCAGGACATTAGTGGTGCGCTTGACGTCGTGACTTGTACTCTGACCACTTCGCCTGTAGGAATGGTGATCTCGTTCTCGTTCCCGTTCCCGATCCCGTTCCCTATCAGAGCCTATAGGTTTCCAGTAGCGCCGCTGATCATGGCGCTGCTTACTTGTTGCATCCTCCGACCCCCTGTGTGAGCCCTGACCACGAGATCCTCTGCGTGTCAGCTCTGTCAAGCCTACTAGCGGCGAACCCGCCTGCATATTGGCGCTCTGGAATATTTTGTTGCTGTCCTGCAGAATTGGCACCAGCATCCTGGCTGGTCCTGCAAACAGGTCGCTGGCAATTCCACGTGTGGGATTCACTATATACTCTCCCGTAGCTATGCTCTCTTCACCATCGGAATATGTGAAAGGCGGCAGGTTGGCAGAGGTGCGGACATTTCGGCACATCTTTATGCCCCTGTAGCCAAATTGAGCGATCCCCGGGAAGAAATTGTCCCACTACATGTTGCAAAATAAGGATGCTTACAGAAAAGAGAGGGAATAAGGGATCACTTGCCAGGTAAAATATGCCATAAGCCACAAGGATGGCAAGCAGCAGAATGGCTGCGAACTTTGTAAACTGCAGAAGGGCGAACACGACCAGGCCCAGCAACACCTCCGTATGCTGCACGCCAAGGAATTCAAGACTCTGCCGGATCTCGGAGATGCGCAGCGCAGCCAGCTGCCCGACGGCTGAGTTCAGGGTATCGCAGGCGCACCGGATCGCGTCAGCCATTTTAAAGGATAAGGATACGGCGTCTCTGTTAAACCCAGTGCTGGCATTTTCCCCGACACTCGGGGCCTTGAAATATTGAAAATTCGGTAGGTTAGACAGGAAAAGAAAAGGGAAACATTTTAGTTTGTATATAGTTTAGTTTTTAGTTTTTTTTTGTATTCAATCCTAATTAAAGTCATTGTTTTCTGATCGAAAATCGATCAAAACAAAGCTTAAAATATTTGAATTCTTTGAATTAATATTTAAACATTTTTTAATGTCAAATTTGCCGACATTCATTTCAACAAGGAAAGCTTTCTTATATTAGTTTTTATTGGGTTAATAAATCTGCATACTCAGTATAAAATTTCAGAAAAAATTTCAATTTTTATCAATTTTGTACAATTTTAACGATGTAACCCCTTACAATTTTGAAATTTCGAAAAATTGTTTAAATTTCATTTTCTACTGGACATAACTAGATCGATTCAGCTGATGATGGTGATAAAGAATATAAATGATTTATAGGGTCGGAAATGATTATTTTACTGTTTTCCAAGCTACTGACTAGAAATATAATACCCTGCAAGGGTGTAAAATCGTTTTGTTTACAAGTTTAGCGGGGAAATTTTGAATTTAAATCTATTGATAAACGATCAATATAACGTCAATTTGAGATTTGAAAAATATCGCATTAAGACTTTTAGGTGTGACCAGCTGCGTGGATGCAAAATCTTTCCCACACCGCCAACAGCTGATTTGGATAAGTTTGTTTTCTTTTTTTTAGGGCCGCATTTTCTTATCTGTAAGTTACTATAAATTCTTGTTATCTGGGATTATAAATACAGCAACTTGATCATTAAACCCTTTACAGTTAAATGATTAGACGCACAATGGCAGAATTCGACGTAAAAGCAGGCCTGCAGCACGTGTTGAAGCGCATCGATGAGGTGCTCCTGCAGCGTCCCAAGGTTTGAACACCTTGATTCCCTTTCCTGGCGGTCACAGGAATGAAAGTTGCTATCTTTTTAACAGGAAGTTCAAGCGGCAAAGCCTCTGCTCGTGGCTGTGAGTAAAACAAAGCCTGCGGAAGCCGTTATCGAGGCGTATGAAGCCGGACAAAGGGACTTTGGCGAGAACTATGTTCAGGAGCTGGAGGAGAAGAGCCGGCATCCGGACATCCTGGCCAAGTGCCCCGACATCAGGTGGCACTTCATTGGCCACATGCAGAGCAACAAGATCAACAAGGTAAGCCGTTGCTTGTGATTAGATAAAGCTGCAATCGTTGTTTTCAAATCTGTAATGTAATTTGTTTGTGTACAGGTGCTGTCGGTTCCCAATCTGCGTATGATTCAAACCGTAGACAGCGAAAAACTGGCCAACAAGTTGGATGCAGCCTGGTCCAAGCAACAGCCAGCTCCAGAGTATCCCCTACAGGTACTCATCCAGATCAATACCAGCGGAGAAGATGGTGAGTATTGTTGTTTTTCTGCTCAAACCAACTCTTTACGAATAACCATCAACTTGCAGTAAAAAGCGGAATCGAGGCCAAGGATGCCCCTGCACTTTACCAGTACATCAGGAACAACCTGAAGCACCTGCAGCTGCTGGGCATCATGACCATTGGAGCCTTTGGCTTTGACTACAGCACTGGACCCAACCCGGATTTTGTGTCGCTCATGCAGGTGCACCGATCAATTTGCGAGGCGCACTCCCTGGCTGGCGACTCTGTACTCGTCTCCATGGGCATGTCCAATGACTTCGACAAGGCGGTAAGTGAGCCTCCGGTTGACGTGGAACGATCTACTCTAAAATCCGAACTATTCCCTTAGATTGAAATGGGCAGCACGGTGGTGCGCGTTGGCTCATCTATTTTCGGTCATCGGGTGGCCAAGGCGTGAGGAGATGGGGCAGGAATGCGTTGTGGACGCCGAATACAGTTGTTTCCCAATGACGTCCAACCGACCGATCGAACGACCGACCAACCTCCCGTTGTGTGAGCAGCCTCCAAGTTCGCCGTGTATCAGGTGGAGATTTGTTGTGTTGTGCACATAGTAAATCCGTAAATGATGATTTGGCGTTTAAATTTAGAAAATCATGAGATAAACAAATGTTATGCGTAGTCTGTTATTATGTATATTCTCCTATTGGATTGTTAACCTCTCCATAAACAATGCTTCCAAAGTGTCAGAGACCCATTAATTATTCCCAGATACTTGCTGCACCTTGGAAAACGGAATACTCTTACATATATGCCGCAGTTTTTATTAATTTTAACATTCCTTTGACTCGTTTCTTGCTCGCTTTTTTGCTTTTTGCACTTTGTTCTATTTATATATTCGCATACATTCAATGCTACATAATTGCGTATTAGATTGTGGGCAGTGTTCTTCTACATATATTTAGGTTTTTTGTTTTGCTTGGCGCGAGGCCAGAATGTCGCCTGGTTATGTGCCAAAAATTGCATTGCCAAGAGAGTTTTTCTCTAGAAAATCACTTTCAATGGAGCACGAAGAAGAGGCTGCAGCCGAAAAATCGATTTTCATTATGTCTGATCGATGAATTATGAAAGCCTTCACGCGGGGATCCCACCATTAATTGATATATTTTCCGTTTGATTTTCATTAATTTAAAACCTTCATTAATTATGTCATTAGCGAAGATGGAAATATTCTGATATGATGCCAAATAAGGACGCGGTTGGGTTACCATTAATAATTTTATATATTTCGGAGGGGGAAGGACCTTTAAAATATTTGATTTTCGTACATTGTCAATGGATTAATGCCACACAACCTCTAAGGAAATGTATAATTCTATAAAAGCTCAAATAATATATAGAGAATATTTGGTAACAGCTAATAATAGAGATTATTTTGTTATGTTAAAAATTACGAATGCTTTAGATTTAATAGCCCGATGTGTCATGGACATTGAATAATAATTTACATATTGTTTAAAAGGCTTTTTAAGCCTTAATCAAGTCTGGAATCAGTTGATATGATGTCTCTTATTCTGGTGCATTATAAATATAAACAATAAAGGATTCTATCTTCGTGCAGATTATTTTTTATACCCTTGAAATCGGTTCTAGAAATTGTACCTTGAATTCGTGCATAACTTAGTCAAAAATGCATTAGTTTCAATTTGGAAAGCTGTCCTATGTTAGTTTTTATTAAGTTAATAAATCTGTATACTCGATTTAACATATAAAAATTTATTTAAAATTTTGAAAATTATAAATTATAAAATTTGGAAATTAATACCCATATTTGAACCAATATTTATCTATATTTTTATATAAAAATTTGTTTTGCAATTCAACGTTTAAAAATCGCATAACTAAGCTAAAAGAGCCTTAATTTTAATTCCGAAATCACTCCTATTTTAGTTTTTAGTAGTTTAATAAATCTGCACACTCAAATTGAAATTAAAAAAATTTTGATTTTTATCAATTTTTGAAAATATTAACGATGTAACCCCTATAAAATAATTGAAAAAATTCAAAAATTTATTTTTTGACCGGGCATTGCTAAATCAATTCGGCTTTTAATGCTGATCAAGAATATATATGATTTATAGGGTCGGAAATGATTCCTTAACGCCGTTTTAAGCTTCTGACTAAAATTAGAATACCCTGCAAGGGTATAAAAACCTAAAAGTACAAGTAATAATGTTCAGCTGACCATATAGAACATTGAATATTAAAATTCTACTTATTGTTATGCAATGTCCAGGCCATCGTTCGCATATATGTAGATAAAGTCAGATGTTTATTGTACATTTGTTGCCGAAATAACTCTGGTCCAATATCGGGTTCGTTGGATATTTATGCGCCACGAAATCCGCCCGATCTCTGTGTATATATGCTAGAGATCTATAGATTTGGAATTCTCGGCGCTCTTCATATTGCACAATGTTCGAGGCACATTTCGAAAACAGAAAATGCGAAGCAAAACATCGAGTATATAGTCATGAATAGATATAGGCTATATATGTCTGTCAAGTATGTGTGGGCTGTGCGTTATACATACATTTGTGTGCATGTACTGCCAAGGGAAATGTAGGTGATTTCAGCGCAAGAGGACACCTTTGGGGGAGGTGGCTTCAAGAGAAACCAAAACAAAACAAAATGTGAACGAAGACAGGGGGAAATGTATCCATCCATCCATCCGTGCGTCCACAAACAGAGAGTGATCCGAGCACCTAGTGGATCCCGAACCGAACCGAACCGAGCCGCACCGAAATAAATTCCGAACATATGTATAGGCTTCTGCCTGCCTGGCTGCCCAAGAGCCAAAGCATTTCTCCGCCGATATAATTAGATTTTTGATTAGAGCAGCGCCCCCCGATGAGTAAACCGCTCGGATACAGCTCTATGGCCTATAGCCGTGGCTATAGATTCGATTCCCCTGTGCCCCGCCGATCGCCTGGGCGGACCTCGCCTTGCAGATACTAAAAAAGGCAGCACGAATATTGCGGATACAGATACGCGAATGGCAGCCGAAGATCCCCGAAGCATCGCCGAACGGTGGCCCAAGGTGGAAGAAGCAGAGCCCCGCCGAGTTCTTAAAACATCATTGTCTTGGCGATAAAATCAGCCAGAGATTCAGTGTGCTCTGACCGCTCGACTCGATTAGACAACACATCAAAGTTCAGCACCATGGTAAGGACTCGTCTTTGGAGTATACCGAACAGAACCGAACCGAGGACCTGGATATATGCAGCAAGGATACGCCCCATCGTCCGATTATTAGTGCAGTGAATCATATGCATTTTGAGATATGACAGAGAGACATATAGTTCCAATATGAAGTGAATAATCTTTAAAGTACAACTCTATGGTGACCCTGCTCACCTTCTAGTGTGAATAGTGTGAATATACATATATAGATTCTATAAATGGATCGATCCGAGTGTTACGCGTCAGTAACGTAATCCGATATCCGTGGCGGGGAGCAAGCGAGACGGCGAGTGGCGCACGGAAAGCTTACGTAACAAGCGTCCGGTTTATTTATAGCCAAAGTGGAAAATTTTCTCGCCCCAGATATACATATTAATTTTCCTGCCGATATCAGGGGCAACACCTTCTTACCTTCCAAATGGATAACTTTAAATTGGAGATCCTTGAAACGAAAGAAGTTTCATGACAGGTGCCATATCCTTCTTATGGATTACTTTCAATCCTCCTTTGGACATCTTTAAGAAATGCCTCAATAAGAACTTTCAATTAGAGATATCCTCATAAGGGTTAGCTATCAAAGAAGCAAGAGAACCTCCAATCAGAGATCCTTAAACGGATCCCTTCAAATAAAAGACTTGCCTTAGTAATGAAAGACCTCTAGACCTACTTGACCCTAGACTACTGGACCTTTGACCTGACTTCCATTCAACCTTAATCCCAAATTGATTCCTAATCCTTTTCCTCCCCTTTTTTTTTGTTGCCACAGGCCGATGAGAAGAAGAAGGTTAAGAAGAAGAAGACCAAGGAAGAGGGTGGTACTTCCGAAACCGCTTCTGAGGCCGCATCTGAGGCAGCAACCCCGGCACCAGCCGCAACTCCTGCCCCGGCCGCCTCTGCCACTGGTTCGAAGAGAGCGTCGGGCGGCTCCCGTGGCTCCAGGAAGTCGAAGCGCGCTGGCTCTTCGGTCTTCTCTGTTTTCTCGCAGAAGCAGATCGCCGAGTTCAAGGAGGTGAGTGTTCGCAGTCCCCCCAAGGACATTTCATCCTCCCATTTCATTCCACTCCGATCCAAACTCCCATCCCCATCTCCATACCCATCCTCATCCCAACCCCATTGGCATCTATTCACATCTTGTCAACGACCAAGTCACCAACCCACTCTCTCTCTTTCTCTCTCTCTCTATCTATCTGAATGAACGAATGATCAGGCCTTCCAACTAATGGATGCCGACAAGGACGGTATTATTGGCAAGAACGATCTGCGCGCTGCCTTCGACTCCGTCGGCAAGATCGCCAACGACAAGGAGTTGGACCAAATGTTGGGCGAGGCCTCGGGTCCCATCAACTTCACCCAGTTGCTGACCCTGTTCGCCAACCGCATGGCCACCTCCGGTGCCAACGATGAAGACGATGTTGTTATTGCTGCCTTCAAAACATTCGATAACGATGGTCTCATCGACGGTGACAAATTCCGCGATATGCTCATGAACTTCGGTGACAAGTTCACCATGAAGGAGGTTGATGATGCCTACGATCAGATGGTGATCGACGACAAGAACCAGATCGACACCGGCGCCCTGATCGAGATGCTCACCGGCAAGGGTGACGAGGAGGAGGAGGAGGCCGCCTAAGGCAACCGTTCACATCCTAACTTCTAACTCAACATCCATATTACAGCCAGAACCAATATCAGAAACGTTAAAATCAATCAGTCAAATCAGTAATAATAAACGTAATTAAAAGAAATGCTCGTTTACATATGTAGATTCTCAGTATCTTGTAATCTCTCTTTTGTTAACCATCGACATCGACACCGATACCGATCCGATTCAAGATCAATCGAACACACCAACATCCTGATCACTGATCACAACTGAACAACTGAAACTTCTTCAACAACACCTTGGTAGCGATCAACAGCAGACCAACTCGTAGCCATTTACCATGTATCTGTCCATCATAGTTAGGGATACCTATTTACGATCACGTTCAATGTCACAGCACTAACAGCACTGAAACTGAAACTGAACTGACGCGTAGTTTTCTAGTTGATTTACTGTTAAATTTTACACGTAAAATTTATAAAACAAAAAATATGCAAAATCTATTTTATTTAAAACACCTATAAAATCAACAAAAAAAACTTAAAAACAACAACCAAGCAATGTCTATTTTTATCGCTGTCCGTTGAAGAAACCGCAGAGAGATGACGAGATCGAGGTCGAAATCGAGGATGATGATGATGATGTAGGGAGGAATGATGACGAATATGGATGCGAATATGATTATGAATTTGATGATGAACAGGAGGAGGACGTAGATGATGATTAGTGGGTAGCTAGGTCGGGTTCGTTAGGCCTGCGCTCACGACGTTTTTTGAATTGAATTTGAATTTGAACATGAACAATTTGTTTAGCGAGTTTTGTGAGTTTTGATGTTATTCGTTCGATTTCGTTGATTCTCGCAGGACCAGGAGAGAGAGAGGCAAAACCTATATATAAAACTATATATGTATATTAACTGAGAGCCAATTATATTTATCCTTCTATGAACACTAAATATTTTTATCGTTATGCATATCTATCGTTCGTTACTCAGTTTCAATTTCAATATCAATTATCAATTATCAACTATGAGTTATAAATATTATTGCAAGTTATCGAGAGTTAGGCTAAAATAACAGAGGAACATTAAGTTCATTCACTGTAACGTTTTATGCGAATTTACATAACTAAATAACTTAACTTAATCACCAACCACTACAACATCTTTCTGCTTATGAACTATCAGCGTTATAAACATATAAACAACCCAAGAACCCAAAAATGATATGTGAAATAAGAATCAATCAAAACAACCAACCAACCCCAGTGTTTCTAGTTAAATAGCTTCGAGGAGGATCATTCTCCGCCCTGGGATTTGGCAGGGCGGAGGCCAGGATTTGTCATTTGGTAGTTTTATTTTGGGATCATGAACCACTAGTACCTAGGCTGATCGGAGGATCAGAACACTACACTCGACACGAGCACACACCATACACACTCTAAACACACACTTTTTAAACACAACAAATGTTGTTAAATGCGAATCGAATCTTTACTTCAGTATAAATTAAGCTATACACACACACAAAAGGCAAGATGAGAAAAATATGACAAATTTTTAACCCGGTCAGAAATATTAACAAAACAATTTAAAAACAAACAAATGTATAAACACAAAAAAAGAAAAAAAGAAAGAAAACTAAGAACTGTTTTTATACAACTTAACTAGATGATGATGATACAATGACGAAGTCTTGGAATAAAGCATAAGAGAGTCGTCTTGAGAAAAAACACAGATCCATTGGAGTTTAACTTGGGGGAACATTGGGGGAATCGGGGGGCCTTTACGTGACTCAGCTGAGCCGTGCCGGAAACCAGTTACAGGCCAAAACAAAACCACCGATAAAGCAGGCAGCTAAAGAGAAGTGCAGTAACTCCCCACACCTGGCCAAGTCGATGGCTTGGCCAAAAGCAAAAGCCGAAACCTTCGAGCGACCAGTTTCCAGTCGAGTTTCGGAGCGCACGCATGCGCACTACCATGTGAAAGTGCGCCACGATTGCCACATCTACCTGGGAGTTACTGTTCGTTCAGGAAAATCACGGTTATTCCAGGAAGGGAAAACCAGAAGTATGGCTCAAGTTCGACACCTTTTGTGGCTCATTTCCGCCTGCTATATTGCATCATGTTCGAGTGGCGGTAAGTAGCTGGGAATCGATGGCATTGTATGCAAATCTTTACAGTGTGCGACACTTTTACGCTGAAGAAATCGAAAGTAATAGAGTCTCTATCTCACCACACTCTCGAATGCACAAAGAAAATTTGTTGTAGATTTAATATATTTGGTGATACAAGAAAATTAAAAAGCAAATATTAGAATTTAGACAAGAGTATGAAAAAGGCAACTATAATATGCTAAAGAAACTTCAGAGTTTTACTTTAAAAGTAGAAAATGGTTAGCTAAACATGCTTTATGTGTAATTGTTAAGCAGTTCTTTTTATTAATAAATAGTTTGTTTTATTCGGATTTATTTTCATAACCAGACACAGTTTTTAGATCTTCAGAAATGGTTCTTTCTTCAGGCATCTTTATTCCCCGCCATGGTATAATAATTCTATTCAGAAGCTTATAACAGTCGAAGAAGTCATTTCCGACCCCATAAATCATATATATTCTTGATTAGCATCGAAAGCCGAATCGATTTAGGCATATCCGGTGGAATAACAATTTTTTAAATTTTTTCGGAATTTTTAAAATTTTATAAGGGGTTACATCATTAAAATTGTCAATATTTGAAAAAAATTTGAATTTTCTAAATTAAAAAACTGAGTATGCAGATTTGTTAGCCTTATAAAAACTAGCACAGAAACGCTTTCCGAATTAAAATTAATGCATTTTTGGCTTAGTTATGATTGATTTAAAATTCTGAAAATTGCAAAATTTAAGGGAATATTAATTTTGTCTTCCTGTTTCAGTTTAATAAAATTTCTTTCTGTGTTTTTTGATTTTTCACCACACTTGCTTGGTCCACCGTTCAATGGATCGATCACTCTCACTCTCTGTGGCTTGTGTGGCTCAGCTGATGCACAGCATCTCATTGCTTACATCTCTCAGCGCGGTCTGCATGGAGAGATCACGTTCCGGCAGGTGAACGCCACCACGGTGGAGATCAAGGCCAGTCTGGAGGCCACGCTGCAGTATCCCGACCAGGTCTGGAGCTGGTCTGTTCGCCGGTTTCCCGTGGACTATTCCAACACGGATGCGGATGAGCGCTGTGAGCTGAGTCGCCTGGGCGGCCAGGTTTTGAGTTTTGATGAAGATCTGGAGTACCTGGTACTGCCGGGTAACGAGACCTCGACATGGGAACGCAACATGCAACTGATCGGGGATCGGGGAATCTGGGGCAAGTCGCTGGTACTGACGGAGATCAATTCGAATGTCCGCATCTGTGCCACCATTACCACCATTCAGAGTTCCGTGGAGCATATGGCAGAGGCGCGTTTCAATACTCCCATTGCTGGATCCGTTCACTTTCGCTGGCTAGCTCCGGCGGAGGGAGCCAATGGTGATACTCTGATCTACTCAGATCTGTATCACATCAGGGAGCAGCCAGCGCCGCTGGAGGGAAGCGGAAGTGCGGAGCGAACCTTCACCCAGCATCATTGGAAAATTTTCGTGACGGATATCTTCAAGCACGATCATCACCGCACCGAGGACAATTGCAATTTCCTGCAGCTGGTCTTTGATCCCCAAGGAGGTGGTTCTGGGCAGGGTATTGGTGATCTGGACGCCCGTCTGGGCAGAATTGGAGTGGCCAAGAATGCTTTGCGTTCGCCACAGCGCAGTGTCTTCAGGGATGCTCAGCTGGCGCTGCTGCCCTCAGATCTTACCATTCCCCATAGAACCTTGTACTTGGTGCTCTATGATAACCAGCATCCGGATACGTACCTGGCCTGCACCAAGATCCGTCACGTCCAACCTCTAAAGTACAAGTGAGTCTTGTCTCCTCATTCCTTGAGATTACCTTCTAATGTCGTTTGTATTTTTAGGACCTTCATCAACTCAGGCGGCGTCAAGGGAGAGGTCACTTTTACACAGCGCTCCAAGTTTGATCCCACTTTCCTTAACTTTACCCTGGGAGCTCCCCTCTCCCAGCATGTAAGCCGCAAGTTCGCTGAGGATGTGGCTGCCTTCCGGATTCACAGTCTTCCGCCAGTGCCGAACCGCATGGGCCATGAGGACTATTGCTGGACCACGGGAGAGATGCACAATCCTCGTGAGGTGACCGAACACATACCGCCACCGGGTTATGGAACCCAGGAGCAGTATCCCGTGGGCGATCTCTCTGGGAAGCTGCAGGGTCGCAATAAAGGCTACTGGCATCAGTACGTCTTGCCCGGAACCAGCTCCGAACTGAATGGTCTGTACTGGGATGTCTTCCTGCCACTCCAAGGACGACATAGTATAGCACAAAGGAGCCTGGTCATCTATACCTACAACCGCACGGATGTAAACAAGATCACGCAAAACATCTGGGGCTGTTCCAGCCTGGGGCAGTATCAGCGGAATGGAGTCTACCAGCAGAACATGGTCACGGCTCAGGTAAGTGAATAATTGCTTTTATGAAAGATCTTTTACCTCTACGCTTGATCTTCCTGTATCAGGTTCTCTTCCGCTATCCAGTTGTGGGCCGCGTGATCTTTAGGCAGGCGGCGGAGCAGCCCTGGCAGGACACCACCGTGCTCTTCGAGTATCTTATCCAGGCAGATGGATCCACGCAGAACACCACCTCCGATCATCGCTGGGCCATTCATAGTAGTGCTCCGGGAAAAGACTTTTACGACTGGCAGCAGCGGTGTCTCTCTGCCGGACCTGTGTACAATCCCTTCCGCGTGGATTGGGGCAATCGCAGTGCCGATGACTTCTGCCAACCCAATTTACCAGCCATATGCCGCATGGGAGCAATGGATGCCAGGCTGGGAGCGCTTACAATTGCCGGAGGAAGAAGGGTAGCCCAGAAAATAAGTAGGAGAATGTTTGTGGATGGTAATCTGCCACTTTCCGGACGTCACAGCATTCTGGGCAAGTCGTTGGTCCTTTACGAGGATAATGGTCCCAAGGCACGTGGGGAGAGGCTGGCCTGTTCCGCTGTGATTGGACACTTCCGCCGGAAGGTGGTGGCCAAGGAATGGTATGCCAATGGAGATCCCCTGACGGTCAGCGGTCGGGTGGAGATTACCCAGCAATCGGAGTACGATATCAGCAATGTGGAAGTGCAGTTTAAGGGATTGCAGGATAACACTGGCTACCATATTCATAGGGTAAGAGATCTGTTTTAAGTTCTCTATGATATATATTTATAATGTTTCTGTTTACAGACACCAGTGGAGGCCAATCTGGCCTTTCCCTGCGAGGCCTCTACTTTGTATGGCGTGTGGAATCCCTTCGATGTCAGCCCCAAGTCAGCGCCACCTTCTAAGAGGGGCACCACCGATCAGTACGAGATGGGGGATCTGAGTGGCAAGTTTGGGGACCTCAAAGGTGTTACTCATTTTGAGGATGCCTATAACGACACTAATTTGCCGCTCTTTGGCTACAACAGCATAATTGGACGATCTGTAGTTATTCAGAAGAGACAGAAGAATGCGCGTTGGGCTTGCAGGTGAGATTATTTAAATACTCCAAGAGATCCTTTTGATTAATCTGATCTTTACAGTACCCTGGAGCGTGGCTACAGTCCGAGTGAGGCTAGGGAACTGAGGGCTATTGCCTCCTTCCATCATCCCACAGGTTATGCCTATGGCTATATTAAAATGACGCAGCTGATCCACAATGATGGCAGTCAGTCGGAAACGGTGATCGAGGTGAAGCTGAGGCATCCCGGCAAGAATGATCGCAACTCCACCCAGAACCACAACTGGCAGATCTTTGTGAATCCCGTAGGCGTAGATGCAGCCGTAAAGCCAACAAATACGAGATGCGTGGCCGGTGGTTATGTATGGAATCCTTACTATACTCAGCTGGCAGATCCTCTCAATGTAATTGTATCTAAGTCAAGGATTAAGTTTCTTTCTAATAAGTATTTTGTTTCTTTAGTTGGATCTGTATGAACAGGAATGCGGACCGGATAATCCTCTGCGTTGCTATGTGGGTGATGTGGGAGCTCGCTTGGGCACTATTGGTAAATTTTCTTTTATTATTTCAGGATGTATACATATTATTAATATTATTATTCCTTGGCAGACCTTGGTGGAGAACGTGTGGTCTTCACGGATTCAAACTTCCCCCTGGAATCTCCAGTGGGCGCCATTGGTCGCTCCATTGTGATCTTTGGACCCGATAATTCCCATGAACGTTTTGCCTGTGCCAACATAGAGCCCGATCACAATGTCATCAAGTACATCAATCTACAGAAACCACCTCGCTTTGTGGTGTAAGTAACTAACCCTATAAATATAGCTACCCATATTAATATCTTTAAAATCCACCTAATTAGTGCCCAATTTCTGGACGAATTGCGTTCTGTGATGGGAATCCCGGAATGGATGTTGGATGTGGATGCTCGAAAGACAAAGGAGCTGCATGGCGGCGCTTGCATTCAGATGATTATTCATTTCAAGGGTCCCTTGGCTCATCGCCTGGAGCTGGATATGTCCCGGTTGATAGCCGCTGGAAGATTGGACTCTCCTAGTCTATTCATACCGGGTTATGTGAACCAAAAGCGAAAGGCAACCATCTCGTATCGAACCTGTGGTGTAAGGGATACCAACGAGAAGCGTAAGTTTAATTTGTTAATAATATAATGGAGATTTACTTATTTTATTATTCAGGCACCAAAAACTTCAAGGGTGGCTTCTACTCCTCAAGCTTAGCTCCAAGCGAACCAAAGCCCTTTGTGTTAGCAATTATAGTCATCGGCCTAGCCCTTAGGTTTCTTTAAATTAGGGGATTAGAGGATTAAGAGGGATTATAAAATCTGAATTAAAAAGAATCCAAATATTTCCTTTATTTAAAATAATCATAATAGTTTAAAAATCCCCATATTTACTCAGTACGTACTTAATACTCAACTTGATCTAAAAATGTTAGTCACTAGCTTAGCATTTAGATGCCTAATAATTCCTGTATATATTTTATTAATACATTTACTTATGTAAACTGTACAGTATATTGATATATTTTTTTTATAATATATTCTTTATAACGTTTAAGTCATATTAATGGCTAGAAAATACCTAATCATTCTCTTTACTTTTGAATTTGAAAAGTAAAGAGACGTTACATTGGGACACATGGAAAACTGACCTACAATATGTTGGTATTTCCTTATTTCCCATACATAATCCACCACCGCCTTTCGCTGCTTAAGACCCACCACCACTTCTTGTTTATTTCTGCGCATGTGTCTCCCCAAATCGAATTTTCACCGCATACATACTTACTCATAAATTCCACTCTAACCCGGACAAGTCGCAGTCGAAGGTGATAGGGAAACGCGTTGAGACGTATTTTTATCATAAAATCCAGAGAATGAGAGGCATTCTCCTCTTAATTGGGCTTTGCCTGGCCATCGGCAGCTGCACTGCATCCATCAGTGGACCATTTATCCTATGGGGCCACCCTAAGGTATCTGGTCTGCAGTCACAGGCCTTGGTGGATTCCAACAGCAGGGAGCTGCCTCTGACGCAACTCTTTGCGGAGGCCAGGTCCATTGTGTTGTTTGTGAGGAACTCTACCAGTCGGTTGGAGGGCACCAAGTACCCAATGTTCGAGAATCTCGTCAAGAGTGGTGCCTGGACATATCTGCCTCAACGGAAATTGGCCGCAGAGCCCTTTGGAAGCAATTCCCACATTCAGGTGAGTGACCTTACCCATAAACACAAAGATAAATGGATACAGAAAATATTATTTATATATAAAATCATGGTCTATTATAAATATTGAAAGTCGAATACATATATAATGTTTTTATATGCGATGCCATAAAAATCTAAAGAACATTTCAAGTCAATTTCAGTTTCAAAAATAATTTTATATCTTGATAATGTTTTGTTAAAGATATATTCAAAGTAAAACATTTTTTAATCAATTCTTATGGCTTTACCTTTCCCAAATTGAACTCATGAGAATATTTAAGATTTTCTGTAAACCATTATATTTTACAAATCAATGCACCACTAACCCACTTTCTTTGCGCAGGTCGTGAGCCTCTCGGGACGCGGTGAAGACGACGATGCCAAGATCCTTGCGGCCTACAATGAGGCTCTGGCCACTTATGGACGCGGTGAGGTTCTAGGCATCCTGGCCAGCCGCGAGGAGGAGGCACACTTCCTGAGCAAGCGCGAGGCAGCTGCTGCAGAAGGAGGAGCCGAGGAGGCAAAGTCAAAGTCAGAGGGAACTGGAGCCGAGGAGACCGAGGCCAGCTTCATATACGTGGCTGAGGGAAACAAGGCAGTCCTCAGTCTCAATGGACCTCTGGAGCTGCGGCTGAGCAACGAGACTCTACGGCTGGAGGAGCACATCAAGCAGATTACCTTCGATGACCAGCGCCCGAAGGGATACGGCAGGCTGAGCATCACATTCATGCCTTCGGGTGAGAAGTGCACTTTGCGCTTCAAGTTCTCGCTGGTGCGTGGATCCTGGACACTCCGGAATGTGGAGGTGGAGTACAGGGACCTGAAGAGCGTGCTCGTGGCACGTGGCGATGAGTATTCGCTGCCCTCGGCTCCCATTGGATTCTCCTACCGCTGCTCTGCTACCAACACCAGCTTCACGAATCCCGTGCGGAATGAGACCATTCAGAGCCTGTTGCTCAGTGACTTCCAGGTGGAACCGTGGCTGAATGGACGCACCAAGTTCGGCGAGGTCTACGACTGTGTGGGCTTCGTGACGGCCCCCATTTTGGCGGGTTTGTTTGTGGTTACCCTGCTCCTGGGCATCCTGGGATTGGGTATCTCCGCCATGCTCAGCATGCATACTCCCAACAGATTCGAGAGCACGCGCAGCAAGCAATTGACCTTCACCATTCAGGAGTAGGAGGAGCAGGGGAGAAAGTCCATCTGGAGGAGCCATAGCCATGTTCGTCCAGATCACCTATGTGGCATTCAAGCCTTTGGCTCTGTTTACCTTGGCCATCGAGCTCTTCCTCATCCACCTGCTCTTTGTGCTCATCGTGCTCTACATTTATGTGCTTTGGTACTACTGACATAGTGTGTGTATTATAATACCATAAAGAATGTAATCGATGATAAAACAATAAACATAAAAAAGTCAGTAAGGGACTGCTGTTATTTAACACCAAAACAATAATATTCAATAGCAAATATACAATAATAATCCCAGGAACTGTTTACAATACACTCAAAAGTTAATTACAACAAATAGCTCCATATTATAAAAGCACGGCAGTCAGCCGATTTAAATAATAATAATAATTTAAATATAAAATCAATTTAATATTGTTTGTCGCAACCATAATAAAATTAAAATAAAAGGGTATATATATACCGACCGGATCGAAGGACTATAATATATAGATGTTATAGGAACTATTGAAACATTTTTATTAAACAAATAACTTTTCCAGTTTTGTCTAATTGAATTTATAGCCATTTTTGTATTATTTTATAATTTCGATTTTATTAAGATCGGACGACTATATCATATAGCTGCCAAAGAATCGATCGTTAAATCTAGAGGAATATTCTAAACTCCCTCTCCTTCTCTCTGGGTCCCTTACTCCCTTATTCTCTATGCCTTACTCTCTATCCCTCCCAGCTTAGCTCTAGCGATAGCACTTACTCTCTCGCTCTCCCTTTCTCTATTCTCTTACTCGGGGACTATAAATAGAGGCGCTGCCTGCGCTCTGGCCTCAGTCTGTCCGCGGCCTCCCCGCTGTAAACATCTCAAGTGATAGTGAGTGATAGTGAGTGCTCTTCGACCCAAAATATATCATCTGGATAACCGGGAAGAAGCTCACTACGATGATGCGATACGAAGCCTAGTTGAAGTCACCAAGTATGAACCTTCATGCCGACAGGAATTAAGGAATGACGATTAGGGGAATCCTCTATTCCGGTAAGTAGTAATTGTTTACAAATATGTATGTATTTCTTAGTCTTACCAAAGTTTCAAAACTGCCCATGACTTTGATGTATATTTTTGCTCAATTAATATACCCCCGTTGGGTATCATAATTACATTCAGAAGCTTACAACAAAGTGAAGGAGTTATTTCCGACCCTGTAAATTATATATATTCTTGATCAGCATCAACAGCTGAGTTTATTTTGCCATGTCTGGTGGAAATAAAAAACTTTGCAAATTTTCCGAAATTTGAAAATTTTATAAGGGGTTACATCATTAAAATTGTCAAAATTTGAAAAAAAATGGATATTTTTTAATTTTAAAACTGGGTAGGCAGATTTGTTAGCCTTATAAAAACTGTGATAGGAATGAATTCTGAATTAAAATCAATACATTTTTGGCTGAGTTATGATATTTGAAAAGCTTTGATTTAGCCAACAAATTAGCATATAAAAATATTTATTTAATATACAGCTAGTATCTTAATAAAAGCCAACTCCGCTTTGCAAATGAAGATTAATGCATCTTTTGCATAATTATGATTGATTCAATTGGAACCAATTATCCTATAGCTACTTAACTTGGGTAAACACTTTCGCTTTTCAAAGTTAACTAGCTTTCTTGAAATGATTAATCCTTAAATTAATTTATTATTTAGAATATTTAGTATTTTAAATGTTTCTTCTGTCATATGCTAAAGCTTAACTTTCCTGAAACTATGTTTTTATTTTTAAGTAAGCCACGTATTCAGTTCCCATGCCAAAGTTCAGCCCACAGGAAAAAGTGAAAAGCGATGAAATTCTGCGCAGACTGCCAAAAAAGGATGAATGGAGTCTGGCTGGAAATTCTGGTTATCTTGACGGTGGCGGCGGCGTCTCACTTTTATTTATTTTTTTCTTTATTCAATATGCCACACACCACACACCCTTCCCTCCTAACCGATCGGCAGCTCACTTTCATTGGTCTCACAGCGGCACTGTGCGCAATTAAGCCGCGTTTGCCGATAGAGATGCGTGCGACGGCTGGATTTCCACACTTAAAGAAATTAGGAGTAATAAGATGGGAATTCCGAAAAATAGGGGAGTATGATAAATTTGGGTTTTCTACAGTGCTACAAGAGCATGGTATAGTAGAATTTATAGTTAATAATGCCCTCCAACAGGATATAGATTGTACTCAAAATTATTACTTGATTTTAACTTAAATTTAGAAGAGGATTTTCATAGCAATATTTATACTATGCTGCTAGCTCTTTTCCTTCCTTTATTTGAAATTTTGTTGCAGTACAAAAGTATCTGTATCTTTTGGCTGTGACTCCGACCAAGCCCAGTCTGCTTCGGTGCAGCCTCACTTATTTATGCATCATTAAGTCACGCCAATGGCTCGTTTGAGCCACATTGGTTTGTTTTGCGTGTGCGTTTGTCCAGTCGGGTTTTTGGGTTTTGGGTTTTGGTTTTTTGGGTTCGACTTCGGTTTCTACGACTGTCACTCGAGACTGGATACCAGACAGGGGACAGTGCTAGAGTCGCTGCTGGCTGTGGGCCACCCACTTTTCTCCACAGATTTTCCAAATACAAATTTTTGTGTATGCGATCCCCGGAGAGAAGAAGCGAGAGGAGATAGCGATCGGGGCACTCACCATATTGGCCATATTGGTGGACCCGCGGAAGTGGGTCGATTGCGTTCACTTTTTCCTTACTTTTACTGTCAACCGAACGTGCCCCAAGTTGCAAGCAGTTCACTGACTCGCCCCAAACAGGGAGAGATAGAGAGAAAGAGTGAGAGTCCCGTCCCATACCGCACCTGATTCTGTAATAAGAATCGCGATCGACGGACGGCCAAGTTTGGCAAAAGTTTGTGAAAGTTGCTGCCAAACAGCCTGTCCAGGAGCCGGGCATATCAGCCACATGATGTGCCGAGCCACCGAGATGATGCACTCAGAGAAAGGCTTTCTATTGGAGTTTACTTATTTCGCAGATATATTAAAGCTTTCTTCAAATAAAACCATTATCCTTAAGTAATGTTTAAAACTCAAATCCAAACACAACTTATTTATTTCAAATATCTAATTAAAGCTTGCTTCTTTTTCTGTGCATTTGGAATAGTAACCGGTATTGGTTTAATTTCTCCCTCTCACAGCATCCATCGAAGTGATGAGTTCAAACTTTAATTGCCACTTGCAGGTTGTAACCGCAGCTCTTAAAGGAGACAAATCTGTGCACTTTCCTCCTCCTAAGGGTCTTATATAAGAACCCAATCCATACACATAATGCGGCGTGAAATTGAATTATTTTCACGGAAGCTGGACGTGAGAGATCCAAGTCGCGGATGCTCCACAATGGATTGGTCTTTGGAGTGGGGATTAATCAATTCAAAGGGCTGCCAGCAGCGGAAATGGGCTTTGTATCTGTAACTTTTGTATGTATCTCCGCATGTATCTGCGACGAGTGCGCTGATGTTTATCTGCGAGATTCGTGCACTTGGCGGCGTTGGCAGCTGTTGAAATTCATGAGGATTACGAGTGCATCGTGGGATGAACTGGGCTCTACCCTTTATAGATGATTCCTCCGTCGATTGACCAACTTCTCCTGCTGTCTGCAGTTTGAAATATGTTTCTTGTCATGGCTAGGAAATCGGGTCAAGCGATCAATCCAAACGATCACTGAAAGTGGCAGTCATCCCAAGTCACTTTGGAGTCTGCAGTTTGCAATTTGCAGTTTGCAACTAGCAGCGGCTAGTTGTGGGCCTCATAATTACTCTGCTCAATATTTGTGTTAAGTTTTACGATTATTGCCACATTTTTCCAGCGAAAGAGAAATCGCCAATTGGCAGGATTGGCAGATGTCTCAGCAGGGGGAAAAGCAGTCGAGGCATAAACTCACTTGCCTCAGACCTGACAAATGTCGCAGTCCAAGTGAGTGCACTCGAAAAATATTGCTTTCCTTGAAGGAAATGGTTTATGAGCTGGGAAAATTAAAGCGATTTGGTAGAGAGAGACTTTGTAAAATCTTAAGCTGCCAACTCTTTTAGGAGCTGCAGAGTTATGTAGTTCAGGATAGTATTAATGATAATTTTTTCCTAGTGTACCTAACGCAGTGAAAAGTGCGCAGGCCAAGCTCTGGAGCACTCGAAATGAAATGGAAAAGCGAAAAATCAAAAGCCAAAGAGCCACATCAAATTCGCACACGAACATGAGGAGCTGATGTGTGGAGGAGCAATGGAGCCATGGAACCGAGGAGCTGCCATTAAGCATCGAGCCAACACCATCCAACATTAAATATTGGCCACTGGCGACAATCCGATGCGTTTAGTAAATCAAAGCGTTAATTACTTGATTTGGTAAGCGGTTTCCCAATGCGCCAAAATGTCCCTGGTTTGCTTGTTTTTCTACCGTTTCGTTTAACAATTTTCCCGCAAATATTTGCACACCTGTCTGGCTGGCTGACTGACTGTCTACCTGTGCGGCTGCGTTGGCGAAAAGTGAAATGCGCGTTTAGAAAGGAAAAGGAAGATTTGCTCTGGGAATATTCGAGATAAAGATGTTAGCACGGTGCGCTCCATTACCGGAGACCTTGACTTATTAACACTTGATTTCTGGCCGCTTGGATTATACGGCTTGGATAAAGTACATCAGCGGAGCTCTTCGCTGAAGATGTGTAGTTTATTTTATGACCGTGTCGCAAGCTTAACGCCCTGTTAAGCCGGCTAAATGCAAATGCCGCACACAGACCTGCCGCGAATAAATGGGCTCAATTCCCCCTCGTGTATCTTAAGCCAGAGCATCCACCATACATAGTAGTACCACTCACCTTTGGTGGTTCGTTGGGAGCTCGTTAATTGCTCCGCTTTGGTTACAGTTTGTGGAGCGTCTTCCAATTGCGCGCAACACGTGAAGGTGTCGCAATTTTCGGGCTCTCAATGTATTTCTCGCAGTCTCGGTCTACTCTATATGCATGCGATATGGAGATCCCCAGATAGACCATTTTGCCCCGAGGCCGAATCTTTTGGCCAAGGCGCTGGCAATGGGCTCCAATCAGCGCCGCTCGATCTCGATTCAGTTTAGTTCATCTTTCCTCGACTAACACGGGAAATAATTTACACATTTTGTGATAATCTAGTTGAGGGTTTTTGTAATTGAAATGGAAATCATTGAGAGATTTCTAGGAAATTAATTTAAGATAAGTACTTAACTAAACACTAAGTTAAGTTTACAGGTCTTTGATAGATAAATGAATTGGAGAAGTATCCACAAAAAGGAAATGTAAATAAGCCAAGCTTTAGGATTCCTCTTTAGAATTCAACAAATTAGTATTGTATTTCATATTATTAATTTAATTTATAATAACTTAAAATCAAGTTCATTTAATTTACCATCTAGTTA